TTTTTTTCACTCTTTCTTGAGTTCATTATATCAATATTCAGTTTTCTTAGTAAGATGACTTACAATTTTTTTTTTGTCTTTTTATTATTAACGTTTTGTATGTTTACTTTATTTATTAGATACCACGTTCTTGTCGCTTACGCCACATAGCGTTCAGTTCAACACCAAAACCACAAAATATTTAAAAACAGAGTATCTTTAGAATTTCCAATGGACAGTCTCGCGCGCTGGAGATAAAAATATTTCATTCCGTACAGTGTTGCCATAGCTCGCTATGAAATCGTTGAGTTTGTTAATCAGAAATTCCTTAAAGTTTTACAAAATCTGAAATAGATTATAAAGCAAATTCGAATTCAAATTTCGGACTTCCCGATGGCCATGTTCCAGTGGAGTACTACGTTATTCAGAATTTGATGGTTGTAGATACCACTGTTTTATCATAATGCGAGAAACATAAATACATTCATGCAGATTCTTCATTATTTAATTTCTTTAAATATAATACAGGGTTACAGTATTTGGTGGCAAGAATCTGAAAATTGATATAAAGCATTTAAGTAGTCCGACGTAAAATGCTGTTTCGAGACTAATATCCGATTGGCGACTAACTTCCCTTTTGGAGAAAAATGGGCTATCTATCGTCAAATAAATGAAAACATTCTTAGAAAAATAACGGAATTTAATATGTTTCCGTAATTTGATTAATTCGTAAGTCCAAATTTCAGTTAAAAATTTAATAATATAATGCTTATTATGTTACATGCTTTTTATTTTTTCATTTCATTATTTCTCCATCGGAAGTCTCAATGTTAATCCTAGATGACCCCCCTTCCCCCCCCCCGAAATTGGTGCTATATATACCATACTTGATCTGAATTCGAAGAATCATTAACCTTGAGCATATCATGTAGGTCTGTTGGTGTACGTGGAGAGAAATATATACTTATAAATGTTTGAAAAACGTATATTTTGGAACTGAAGTGCTGAAAATTTCGAAAATTAATGTAATAAAACGTATATGGGAATTCGAGTGACTGACAAGATTCATTCTTTTATGTTGAAACAATGATTTATTAAATCCCTCAGGAAACAATAATCTTGAACATGATTACAGTAAAAAAGTTTAAAAATCAGAAGAAATTCATAGAACGATTATTTTCTTTTCGTACATTTTCTCAGAAGTAGTTCTTTCAATATTCAGAGAAATAAATAATTATATTATTTTAGAAATAAATAACATAATTATTTACTTCTCTAAACTTTTTATTCATAAAGCAAACTTTAAATTTCCTTTCATAATGTTACTTCCTAAATGTATCAATTGAACCTATTTAAAATCATCTTTAAGGAGAAATGGAGCGATAAAGTCGCTGAACACTGGTAGTTCGGTCCGAGGTTCGAATCCCGCGAACGGGCTGGCTGCATGGGCGTTTCCGGGGTTTTCCCCATGTGTAACGTGTATATGAGCCAGTTTCCCTTAGAAAGTCCTCCACGAAGGCATCCCTCCTCTTAGGCAGATAGCCCTAGTGTGCTTTGCCATAATTAAATACACACCTCTAAGGAGAAATAAATTATTGAGACTGATTTTACTTAAAAATATACTACACTTTTAAGAATTCAAATGTCTTGAATAAAAAAAAAGTTCCAAATATTTCAACCCTGCATATTAGAATAAAAATAGACACACTTAAATTTCTGAACGTGCCTGCAAACATCAATACAAATTCAAAGTGGTTTTATATATAAGAAAAAATTCCATTTATGCTTACATACGACCATATATCTGAACTCTCTCATTTCAAAGACCCGACAAAAATTTTCCAAAAAATATAATATTGAGGACAAAAATTAAACTTTAACAGGATATTATATAATATAATAACACGCAATATTTATAAATAAAATTTTTTGTTTCTCCAATGAGCTTTCCTTCGATGATACTAAGGTTATAAAAGGGAAATTTTTACATTTTTTGCTATCGAAAAGGTTTTTTTCTACAGTTCGAATATTCCATGACAGGTCATATGCTTACTATGATAAAGCAATATTGCTAAACATGGGGAGGGGGAAATATGTTTAAAATAATTATGATCTAAAAACTATCTGATGTGAACACATGACTTCCTTGTATGGTCTATTAAATTATACTCATTTTTTGCTGCACATCAATTTAGTTCTCATTTCGAGACAAGGCAAAAATGCATATAAAATCAAAACATTTTCTTCATCAAACATTGTAAAATACATAAAAGCATAAACCATCAACTACAATTATAAACAATTCAAAAAAAATTTGCAATTATAATTATAGTTTCTACACTAAAACAAGCAATTTGGACAGTCGGTAAGAAAACCAAATTTTCGGTGCACGAAATTGGAAGTTAACTTTGCTGCCGTCAGGCAAAAAGACTGTGAAGTTGACGCACCAACTGAAATAGTTCTTATATTCACATGTTTCAAATGTGAACAAATGGCGGCTTCGATAGGCCTAACGCCACTTTTAAATTGTTGATAATTCTACAACTGTTGCATGCAGATTAATTAAAGGCATAAAAGAAGAAGTTTCTCACACAGCTATAAACATTTTAATGCAATTCGGAACAACATATGTAAGTGAAACGTCATTCTCAACGTACGTTATAAGGTATTTCTCCCACTTTCCTAGCGTCCTTCGTGGTGTAGTGGTTCTGCACGCTGGGCCGGTATTCCAGAGGTCCGTGGTTCGATTCCCGGCGAAGGCGGTTGCTAATTTTTCATCCCTCTGGCTTCCAAAAAAAAAATCCTAATGATTCTACAACGTGGCAACAAAAAATTATACAATAAAAAATACAATGCTTTTCTTTAAATGTGTGAATTTTTTTTATTTAATTTTTTTTAATTTAAGTCAAAAATACATTACAATTGATATCAAATAAACTAGAAAAATATTAAAACAATCTAAACAAGGTTTTCATTCCAATGTTTGAAAAAAATATTATTGTTGCCAAATGGCTCCATTATGCAAAAACAATATTATAGGCAAATGTGTAAAAACAATTTTATTTAATAATACATACCTTATAAACTTGTTCAAACAATTTTAAAACGTTGAATACATCCAAATAACAACAAACACAAAATCAAAAATTCGTAAACACAAATGATGTGCACACCCTACACACCAACTCACAATAATGACCGTTACACCGTTAGTGTTACACCGAAACTTAACCAAAATTATATACGTAATCAGTATGTATCCAATTAGTTACACTATGTTGTAAGCTAAACGTTTTGTTCTGATTTGATTTACATGACTAAATATGAGTATGTTGCCAAATGGCAATGCATTTAAGGGTTAATTATCTTTACACAAAGATCCTGTAAATACTTTTCTTTAATTATCTTTACATAAAGTTCTTGTAAATACTTTTATTTAATACCTGTAAATACTTTTCTTTCATTATCTTTACATAAAGTATCTCTATTGATCTACTTAAATTAGGGCTTAATTTCAAAAATTAGAAGTACCGGAGCTCTATAGAATACCTTCAGGAAAGAGGAACAAGAATAAATAAAGAATAAGATGACTAATAAAATCATTAACAATTAAAAAATTGAATAACTCATTATTAAAATAATTAAATAATTAATGGTTAAAGTAATTAAATAAGTAAAATTAAAATTTTATAAAATTCGAAGCGATTAGAAAAATTAGAATTTAATAAGCAATTTTCAGTATAATTTTATTAGTAAAAATAAAGTTTTCAAGATCAAATTTCTACTGAAATTATTGTTCCGTTACATAAAAGAAATTCTTATTTAGGGCTCCGGTGCGCTCCGGCTAAAGTTATAAATTATCTCCAAAATTAAGAAGTACCGGAGCCAGGCTCCTGTGGGCTCCGGCGCAATTTAAGCCCTGACTTAAGTATTATTTTATGAGCTATTTCTTTAATGGTCGGATGGGGTTCCCCGAAAAACCCTTATAGTTCTAAGGATTTGACCACTGCAATAGACTAACAGCAATGTTCTTCTTTATATTATTCTTTATTTGTTTAAACTCTGAATTTTGAGCTTTGTCTTTCTATTAAACTTTAGAAATGGATGAGGAAATATTTATATTGTATTTATATAACAAAGCTTGTCTAGTATACTTTGAAGAAACTTACGCACAGAACTTCTTTCACAAACTAATTGCAAATTACATGTGTTGCATTGATTAACTGCAATTTAAGACAACACCAATAATATATAAATACCTTATAAGGTGTTTCTCCCGCCTTCTTAGCCCAGCATCTTGGTGTAACGGTCAGCACGCTCGGCGCGTATTTGAGAGGTCCGTGGTTTGAGTCTCGGTGAGGGCACTGCTCATTTTTCACATTTCCCAGCATCAAGTTAACCTAATGACTCTACAACACTGATGGAACGAGACGGCTTCCGTCCTAATCAATGGGCGGAGTTAAATGCTGCCCCGCCCTTCATCAATCCACAATGTTGCGACCCCACAGAGCAAGGGCAGACAATGCAGGACCAGTACGGTCCCTGCCGAGCCTTACTCTGTCCCGAGAGCCCTCAGGCCTTCTGTGAAGTCTGTTATTATGCCCCCGTGGTCGAGACTGCCTATGTACAGATCCTAACCAGTACTTCCCAGGCGTTCGCCTGAGTCAACCCCCGGGGAGACTAATGACTCTACAGTGGCGCCCGAACTTAAAAAGGTGAGGGATGATGATTCTCCACCATCAAGATTTGGCGAGTAGGTTCTCCTAATCCCTAGTCGCCCTTTAAAAGAGTGAGTATATAAGGTATTCCTCCCGCCTTCTTGGAATGCCATCATGATGTAATGGTCAACACACTCGACGCGTATTCGAGAGGTCGCTGGTTCGAGTCCCGGCGAGGGAATTGCTAATTTTTCACGTCTCCCAGTATCAAAAATAACCTATTGTCCCTACAAGCTGAAAAAATTTTTTTTTCAAAATCCTATAGCGTTAAGTTTTCAAAATATGCATTAAAATTTCACATACCATTGTTACTTGACGAGCAAATCCACCATAACATTCCTTTTCTGTAGCAAGTTTTTCAGTGCATCTTCCTGCATTGGTATTGAATTCTACAAAATGGGAATGGACATCGTTATTGTGGAGTATTGTTAAATTAAATGCTTCGCAGTAACAAAGAAAGACGAAAATCAAGAGACGAATCATTGTCTAAGAGAAAGAACTTTTCACAAATGCAGCCCGGGGTGAGAGAAAGAGAAAAATATAAGTTCTAACTCTCCGTAGAATTTAACGGTAAATAATACGTCATCACCAAAGCATGACTGTGAAGTAATGGAGTTTCTGTTTTTGTTGACATTTCCGAACTTTTATATAAAGAAAAAGAATGTTCTGAAGTTATGAACAGACGAATGTTATGCAGTCTGCGCATTTATTTTGACATGATTTACGAACCTCTATAGTAGCAATCACATTCCATTGCAAAAGTTCCATGGTAATTTGCATTGTAATTAAATTAGTAATACTTTTAGTTCTTTGATTCCAAATATCTTTTGCTGCCATTGCATACTGGTTTTTTCGTGCTACTTTCTCAGTTTTTTTCAAAAGTGATTATACAACAATTATTACTATTAAATGTTATTAATTAGGACTGTAATGAATAAAGCTAGAATTAATTAAAGTATTACAAATTATGCATTACAATTCTGTCATTAATTCCCATCAAAGAATAAATAAGAGCAATTTAAAAAAAAAATAATATAAATAAAAAAATCTGAAATGTTTCAGATTTTAAATTACGTCCAAAGGGGCGTTTTTTTAACATTTTGTATGTTACCTTCTTTATTAAATATCATGTTTTCCTCGCACTTAAACCATAAGATCCAGTGCAACAGCAATATCGCAAAATAGTTTTAAAACGAGCATATCTTTAGAATTTCCGATACAGAGACTCACGCGCTGGAGATAAAAATGTTTTTCTGCACAACGTTGCCATTGCTCGCTTTGAAATCCTTGAGTTTGTTAATCAAAAATTCGTCAAAGTTTTAAAAAATAGGAAATCGATCATAAAACAAATTTCAAATTTGGTCTTCCACATGCTCATATTCGTTGGAGGATTACGTTATTCAAAATTCGATGACTCTATGTACCGTTGTTTTATGACAATGCGAGAAATATACATACATTTACGCAGATTTTCATTATTTAATTTCTTCAAATATAATGCAGGACTCTAACATTTTATGGCAACAGTTTGAAAAGTGAACCGACATTTATGAGTCCGACGCAAAATGCCAAAACGAAACTAATAGTCCTTCGGGATTCAAATCCCTTTGGACTAAAAAAAAAAAAAAAAAAATCTGAAATGTTTCAGATTTTAAATTACGTCCAAAGGGGCGTTTTTTAACATTTTGTATGTTACCTTTCTTTATTAAATATCATGTTCCTCGCACTTAAACCATAAGATCCAGTGCAACAGCAATATCGCAAAATAGTTTTAAAACGAGCATATCTTTAGAATTTCCGATACAGAGACTCACGCGCTGGAGATAAAAATGTTTTTTCTGCACAACGTTGCCATTGCTCGCTTTGAAATCCTTGAGTTTGTTAATCAAAAATTCGTTCAAAGTTTTAAAAAATAGGAAATCGATCATAAAACAAAATTCAAATTTCAAATTTGGTCTTCCACATGCTCATATTCGTTGGAGGATTACGTTATTCAAAATTCGATGACTCTATGTACCGTTGTTTTATGACAATGCGAGAAATATACATACATTTACGCAGATTTTTCATTATTTAATTTCTTCAAATATAATGCAGGACTCTAACATTTTATGGCAACAGTTTGAAAAGTGAACCGACATTTTATGAGTCCGACGCAAAATGCCAAAACGAAACTAATAGTCCTTCGGGATTCAAATCCCTTTGGACTAAAAGGGGCGGTATAGTGTTTAGCTTAATTAAAAGAAGTTTTATTCAGTTAGTCATATCGAAAGTATAACATTTATTAGATGATAAAAATTGTTCTCTTATAAAATTAGATATTACTTGTAAGGTTTATCCTACTTTTTCTAACAGTTAATTTTTAGTTAAAGTTACTTTCCTGTCGATTCTTAATTTCAGCTTACAACTTCCGGCCAGAAAGTATTTTCAGAATCGCTGTCAAATACAAACGAGGGAGGAGAAATATTTAACTTCAAAGTTCTACTGACTTCGATAGAGAGCCAGATATTCTGAGCAGTGCGAATTCGCCTTTTAGGCTACTCTTTCTCTCTCTCTTAAAGCTATTATTAAGTTCGGCCATACTTTAGGCCCTTGATAGCTTCGCCTTTAGTTAGCGTTAAAGGGCCAATTCTGTTAGAATATCGATAGCTTCGGCTATATCTTTTTAGCTTAGTTAAGTTTTACTTCTTAGTATTCCTGAGTTCAAGCTCAAGTGGAGGCTTCGTTGTAAACTCCAAGAAGGAGGACGACTGTTAAATTTATTTTGAATAATAAATGGTAATTAACCCTTCGCACATCTGCGTTTCTATCTCTCTGAACTAAGCGATTATTCGCTTACCAGTTCTTAAGTTCCACGCAGTTAGCAGTAACTCAAAGGCTGAATCTTACAACCTATTAAAGTAAAACAATTTCCAAGCAATCAAGGGCTACCCCTAACATGTATTGTTTACCGAAGGTTGCTTGCCGAGTCGTCAGATTCAGATTAGAATATCGGATAAGACTGTTCGAATTAGGAATGTCTTTAACAACGATGTACTATATGCTTAACCCACACGGTATTGCCTTACACTGTATGAAAAATTGTCACCCAAAAATAGAGTACACAACAGTGAGTAACCACATACTACAACTTTGTACTATTTTTGCTTGCGTAGGGGTTCGTAATAGATTGGTTGAATGCACACAGAACGGATGACAGCTTATTAAAATTTATTTTACCAAAAGGAACTTTTCACAGTCCTGGGACTTTCTACAAAAATACCCTTACAGCTCTTTGTCATGTCACGAAATTTAATTATTAATATGCGTTCTAAGTTATCATTATTCTAGTTTTTTTATTTGTATTCATGTATATTTTAATCTGGAAAAAAAAGTATTCTTAAGTTGTTAAGGCTTTATTTAACTCGTTATTCTTGAGTAGAAAGTGTAGCAAAGGCGAGAGACCGTTGCGAGGAAACACATCTGATTTATTGGTTCATGCCCTTTTTACTAACAGTGGAGGCAATAGGATGTTGTGTTGTTGCCTTTTACTAATGGCGTTTGTAACGAAAATCGTCTTCCTTTCGCTTTGTTATAGTTGCAATTTTGCTTACCTCAAGACAGTGGGGGTGTACTAATCTTAGGTAATTGGATTCTCGTAAAGCTTAGTTTCCGCTTGTTAGTTGGGGGGGTCTACTTTAGTTCCCACGTTGTATGTGTACAGATGTTTTTTGGACTTCATTATCAGATTTCCTGGATTTTGATTCGTCATGGGGGTTTAAATTTCTCAGTTTAGTAAAGTAAAATTCTAGCATTGGTAAGATTTAATTTGAGGATTTTTTGTAGGCCAATTAAATTTTCGGGCGGGAGCGGAGAATTTACTTCTGTGCTTGCACCAGGCTAGAATTTATTCTGATTCTGATTTTCCAGTTAAGGGAAAGAAAAAGGAGAAAAGAATGGGGGCTTAACCTCTTGCGGGTCTTGCTCTCGCGAGCGACGTGAACCAGCGGGCTACGGTTATGGTTTTTCCCTTGGAGTATGATATGGAGTGATCTGAGCAGCAGCGATGTGAAGTTAGATAAAGAGTCCGAGCTGCGTTTTGCTCTGCGGCCGGCTTGCTGTGCTGCGGGCTGCCTGAGCAAGAGAGCTTGAGCCGCGCTTTCTGTTTTCCAGAAGAGGCATTTTTATCTGCGAGATAATTAAAAAATTTTGTGCGCGATGTGAAGAACAATTTCCCTGCGAGATGTCTGAAGAAATGTGTACGAGCTGAAAAGAACATTTTATTGCGAGCTGATTACTAATTCAGTGCGAGATGTAAAGAGCAATTTGCCAAAATATTTACCCAGATTTTCCCTCTGCACGCGAATCTCCAGATAATCTCTCCGAAACCGAAAATTTGACATTCCAGAAGTGAATATGTCTGACACTTGGAAATTTCAAACAGAAGTATTGTCATTAGTATCCGGCACCTGAGGTTCCAAACACATAAACATTCTCAGGTATTTGTTATTACTATCTGGCACCTGTGGTTCCTGACACATAGACGTTCCACACAGAAATATGTTCCTGAAGAACGAACTTTTCCCTGATCTGGCGGTTAGTTTTACAAAAAGGACTTCATCCCGTTCCAGACATTCTTGTACAGAATGGACTTCAGCGCGAGAGTGTTAGTTAAACTGTAATCAAAGTGTTGGCTCAAGGAAATATACTTCCTCCGTAACTAGGAAAACTGGACACTCCCCCCAAGGTTGTATATTCCGAAGAATATGTGAGTGAAATTTTTAAGATTATTTTCTCTCTCTCTCTTAGTATTCCCAAATGCCATAGTGTAACAGTTAATAATGATTTATCTACCTGTTTATATTTTTATTACTTATATAAGATATTGCAGTCAGAAAAATTGAGAAGTGATTTATTATTTCAAGTGATGGCCAGTTTTGGGATGTTTAAAATTTGTTTCACCTACTGAGTTTGTGAGTCAGAAAATGTTAGTTTCTAATTAATGAGAACCATATATTTGGAGAATTAAAATATGTTACAACTTCTTAATTTCTGAAAAAAAATTTTAATTATTAATTAAATGTTTTATTTATGTAAGCTGAAATTTTGTGTGACAGATGCGATATTTTCATAGTAAAAATATGTCGTAGAGGACACTGATCAGTTACTTAAGTATTTACTAAATATAATATATTCAAGAATTTAATAAATGTGTGTTTAAAATTTAATTGCATTTGTGTATTTGTCTTGTGTGTAATTTACTGTGGTCTGTCAAGTCCCTCCATTTGTTTGAGCCGGGAGGCTTTTTAAGAAACATGGAGTTTTATTGAATTTCGGTTATTGATTTTTCCTTTTGCATAGGTTACTCACAACGCAGACCTAAAATTTAATTTGTACTACCACTATACAATTTTTATTCGATTGATCTTCTGATGTATTATGAATTAGTTTTTTTTTTTTTTTTTTTTTTTTTTTTGGTTTATTTGATTTTTAGTTAGTTTTTTTCGGCACCATGTGTTAAGTTGAGTCAAAGTTAAAGTTTAAAAAAGTATAACACAACTTAATTTTAAGATATTTAACATCTTCACAGTATCACAGGGCACAATCGGTAGCCATTGAGAACGTAAAACGCAATGCAATGCAAAGCACATTTGAAAAGGCGAAGCTGCTACGGAGATCTGCCAGCACTCCGAACTCAAGCTGAAATAAGCAACTGAGAAACTGATGCTTTCTCTGGTCTCATATAGTCCCCTCCCACCGATAAATCTTTAGAATCTTCCACTTCTCGAAATTAATGGAAGGCATTTGAGGGCCACGTTATAATTACGTATCTAGGTTAACCCCATTTATTCAGTTACAATACCAATTACATAATACATGTCAATTACAATACCATACATTACTAATACTTAGACCGGACCCAAATGTCGCCAAATGGTTTGCCAAGTTTTGAGACTTTTAGCAATTTCTCACCAAATTTGGTGACTAAAATTTTTCACATATGTGTAAATTCGTAGCACTATTAATAACTGGGACACTTTTATGTAAATAAATCAACAAATGCCGTCCTTGTCTAGCGTTTATAAAATTATGCATTCTGTTAGATGGAAAAGTGATTTCTTATTTTCTGAAAAAAATATTACGACGTAACATCTTAAGGAATTTCTCCTTCTTTATCGCATGCCTTCGTGGTGTAATTGGAAGTGCGCCCGGCTCGCATCGGGAGGTCCAGAGTTCGAATCCTGGCAAAAATTCTAATTAATTTTTCATAAACTCATTGACTCTGTAGTATAATAGTATTTGTGAAGTATGTTCATGAAAATAGTAACTCCGCATTTTAATTAATACACTTTATATATGTTGCCTGATAATCATTCGTACTTCGTTGGAGAACCTCTATCATCCTTCGCCAACTAAAGCTCTTACTAGCTTGTAGTATCGTATAGCCCCAACTTGTCAGCAACTGTGGTAGTGACTGTTACTGAGTGTAAATTTACACAGACACGTAAGAAGGGTTTAAAGCCCTTTTTATTCAACTATGAAAATAACAGCTGCGTCCACTTGACGCTCACAAACTACGCCGACCCGGCGGTTTAACTGAAACAAAACGTAAAACTGAACAATAATGACTGGATTATAATGACTGGAATAAAATAGCCATTGGAATAATGAATGGAATAAAATAGCGAGATCACTATCCCACGAGGCTCTGAGATCTTAACTAACTAACCGCGTTCAAAATACCGCTGAGATCAGCGAGGTTATAATTAAGCAGTTGAAAGATTCAGCAAAAAATGCCGAGAAGGCAACAGGCCGAAACGCGCGGTTCTTAAATTTCTACTAGCAACCTTCACGTTCGCGATTCAAGAAGCCACCTCCAATCTCGTTTTCCTTCTATTTAAACTCAACTCTTCTCTAAATTGAATATACTGCGCGCTTATAACAATTTACATACTCTAGCATTGGCAATTTAGGGAAAAGTAAAGTTGACTGGAAAGATAGCTTAAAAAAATGTTATTAAAATAAATAAACCCGACATTTGCCGCTGCCAGAATTTGGCAAACTTGGAAGCAAGACGACCTGTTAAAAAAACAACCTGTTGAAAACGACTTGTTGAAGTTCCTATTCTAACCTAATCAAGAGCTCCGTTTACATAAAAAAATTTCCCTAACAAAAAATTTTTCAATAGTTTTTGTAGACGATTACAATACAATATCTTTTTACAGGATCCTCTCTGCTGTTGTTCTTCGTCATTCAATCTTTTTCTCTTCCTTCCAGCATCTGGAAAGAATCAGTATATTCCAAATACATTATGATTTACACTTTCTATTTTAGTTTTCGATCATTTTCTTTTCCTTATTTAACTGCTTAAATTCGTTCATTCAAACATGAATTTAACTTTACCCTGGTTCTCCACCATGTGTGCTATCAAACGGGAATCTTCATGTTCTTGTATTTCAACACTTTCCCTAACCACAATGATTTGTTAGACTTCAATCGATCAATTACGACACACCCTATTCCAACATACTGAAACTCGATGAGCTATGTTTTAACATTCTTAAATTCAAGTGTGGGGGGAGAACCTACAAAACACATTCATTCTAATTTCCCCTCATTCTTTCACATGCAGGCTTCGCTCTAAAGCATGATTTTATTACTGTTTAACACTTAGGTTTTAATCGTTTCTTTTGAGCATTACTTTTAGCATCTAAAATTTTATGCTTCTAGACTAAATTCTACTTTTATATAACTTTCAGTATTTACCATTTACAAAAATTCTATGCATATGATTTTTACAATTTACAATAGATGAATAAGAGAAAATAAAATTTTACTTCACGCTTTCTTCGCCAAGCTGGTGGCACTGAAACTAAATTTTCCATTAATACAACAATACGAAGCTATTTTACCTTCGGCCAAATTTTGACCTTTAACATAACAGAACCAGTCTTTCGACCATGAACTGCTTGTTCTTAGATATTACACTTAAAGAAAATAATGCTTTTGCTTTAGCTAAATACAATAAAACAAAACTAAGTCTCAACCGAGACAAATTGACTTCCGTCAACACATGAACTTCGTATTTACACATAACATTTCAGAACAAAAGAAGAATTTATAGATTTTAACTTATCTTTGACTTTCCGATGCTTGGAACTCCGACATCCTCTTCTGGCAGAATTGATCCCAATTTACAGAGTTCATGGAAGTTAACCTCCTCTTTTGATTTCTTCGAATTTCCTCAATGGTCGCTTTCCTTTTTCGCCCTCTGTACGCCGGCCTCTTGGGGTGGTAGTCTTCGGGTTCCTGTCTTTTCCGTTTGGCCCCTGGACGGCTGGTTTGGCGGCCTCTGGTCGATTTTGCTTGAATTTCTGCTGGTACAACTTTCGTTCATCTTGCGTCTTTCTTCCATGAAGGCGGTCTAGTTTTTCTGATATGTGGCATGGAAGTGTTCCTCGACGCAGATTTTCTGCTGTGGGAGTTGTACGGGTCTTTTCTGTTTACCAAAGATTTTTACGATGCGACGTTGATTTCGCACTTTTGAAGCCGGGATTCTGACCATTCTCTTCCTTCTTTCGGACCCTAGATGACTTGTAGAAGGGCTAGGTTCCTCTTCTTTTTGCTTTTGGGTGGTGGAGCGGGCGGGTTAATTCTGTGATTTCCACTTCTTTTGCACTTGAGTCCTGCAAGAAAACTTTTATCGAAATTCGAAATCATTGATTATAATATTTTTCACTTGCTGGTCGGGACTTGCTTTACAGGTTTTCCCTCTCGTTTTAAGGTACAATACGACTCCCTTGATTTGTATTACATAGGGGCCTTCAAACTTCGGGAGCCAATTTTGAGTGAAATAGTCTGGGGCACTTAAAGAAAATTTCGTTTAAACTTTCACCTCTCTAAATTGCTTCACGGCCTTTCGATATATAAAGTTTTGTTATTCTTGTCGCCGGGGGGTCGAGTAGAGAACTCTGCGAAGCTATGGCTAGGATCTGAACTAGGCAGTCTCGGCTACGGGGGTATAAAATTTATGATGGTGTCTGACGGCTCAATACGGGGAAAGGTCACTTATTGGCCGGCCCCGGAGTCTGGCACGTCCTAGCGCGGTGCGCCTCTCTCTCTAAGGGGTCTCTATCTGTTTTGAATTAAGTTCTGTTGAAAGTTTGAGTACTTAAAAGATAACTACTGTGAGATATTGTAATACTGTACGAATATCTGAGGAAATTGAAGTATTTTGTTTGGTTTGTTGTGATAATAATAAATTTTGTTTATTTTTCATCGGACTTGTGCATTCAATTCAAACGAACCCGTACGCACACAACAGTATAAATATTGCCCATATAGATTTTTATTTTTTGGTATAAACTGCTTCTTTTTTATTTACTATTTATGAACAGAATAAATCTTATCAGACATAAAATTAGCCAAACAAAACTTTTTCCTAATTCATTAAGTCGCCAATGCGTTAGAAACTTTTCGTGGATTCTGAATAGCAGAAGGTATTGCAATTATCTGAACATTCCTAAAGCTGTAATTTTCCTTGAAATTATGTTATTTTTTAACATGCATGTGTAATATATGGTAATAATAAGATGATTGGTATGTTATGGACAGTTTAAAATTTCTTTTTCAGAATTTTTTAAAATCATTAATATTAAATATATTTTTCATGGTTCGGCAATTTTAACTATGTAGCATCATAACTAGCCTTTAAAACCATTGATGCTTAGATTTGAAACAACAGTGTATATTCTGAATAGGGGGGGAACGAGTACGTGGTGCCAAAAAAAATCTGAAGGATTTCAGATTTTAAATTACGTCCAAAGGCGCATTTTTTAACGTTTTGTGTGTTACATTTATTTATTAAATATCATGTTCTTTGACCTTAAACCATAAAATTCAGTTCAATAGCAATTCGCAAATTAATTTATAATGTGCCATCTTCCGATAGCCATCTTTAGCAATCTTGCTTTAAGCAAGAAGAAAGGGATGAGGACTTTGGGCGAAAGTGTTCACATGCCCATATCGTAGGAGGATTACGATTTAAATTTGATGGCTTAGTACCGTGTGTTATCACAATGCGAGAAATTATATACAATTATGCAGATTTTTCATTATTAATTTCTTCAATATAATGCAGGACTCTAACATTTAGTGACAACAGTTTGAAAAGTGAAACGGACATTTATAGTGATTCAACGCAAAATCGCAAAACGAAAACAAAAGCCCTTTGGACTAATAACGATAATTGCCAGAGACTTTGTGCCATGGCTGTTGTTAACTTTCTTGCTGGAATCAAATTTTATTACATAATGAGCAATCTTTTATTATTACTAATGTATGGGCTAGTTCAGCAAATTTTGTATCAGTAATCTTTTTTCTTCTGCTATGCCTTTGGGTCCAAAGATGAAACTGTGTGTACATATGAAGATTGTTTATTCCTCTCCCTGCATTCACTGTAACTGTTAATGTTCCTATGGAAACGAGAAATGGGCTTTGTGTAAATTTCGGAGGTATTTTTAAACAAGTCTGAAAAAAATTGGTTATATGGTTTTCTGGTTTTTAAATTTAGAGAACATGGTGAAACTCCACGTTAAAAGAGGAGACCAAAGTTTGTTCTGGTATGAAACAAATACTGGCATTAATGTCGGAGAACTTTTGAAAGATCTTATAGCTATTCAAAATGGCAGGTTAAAAATTGAAAGACTATGCTTTGGTAAACATATTTACCATTTTCTTTTTACTGGATATCCTTCTATTTAAATAGCTTATCATGTGAAAAAAAACTACATGTTGCTATGCATTCTTAATAGTTTACGTTTCATAATATCAGTTTAATAAAATGTTATAATACAACACAGAATTTCATTAGTATATAAACATATATATGAATTACCATTAAAATTATTTGAAGCTTGATGACTTATTATTTCACATTTTATGTTACTATTTTCGTTTTGATGAAGGTATATAAATATGGACAGTGATATTTAAAAGTAAACTCCTAAAACTCTTTCGAGAAACTGGAAATTTAAATAACATAGATAAATGTGATATTTTTTTTACATAAACTTTGAAATCACAGCAAACATTCATTAGCTTGAAAGGGCTATTAATCTCTATTTACAACTTTACATTGTTGCATGGAAAGTGAAACAATTTTACATCATTTTTCACTTTGCATTCAAGTCTGTTGCCATTTGGCACTGCTTTGTTTAAATAAAAGTGCATTTAATTCATGATATATCGAATTAAAAAAATTAAATATTTTTATAGCTTGCAATGTATATTTTTCAAATATTCAGAACATACATAATGTCCTCAAAAGCTCCTTTAAATTACTATTAAAACCTTAACTCTTTTTTTATTGTACTTCCTCATTAAAGTAATCAGTGTGCAAAGTCAAAACTGACAAACGTATCACCCAGTCAGTTCAGAGGCATACAAAGTAGCTGGCAGAGTTGTAGCTAGGGTTTTCAGCGCCCAGGGACAACTGAAGATTTCGCACCCCCCTTATGTGCCAAGGATGGAAAATTAATTCTAAAAGTTAAATAATTTGGCACCCCTTGGATTCTGCGCCCGGGGACAGATACCCCCGCTTGCCCCCCTCTAGCTACACCCCTGGTAGCTGGTAAAATTTACTTATTGGGTGTAAGTTAGGGATTTTGGTGACTATTCTAAATGAAATTGTAAAACTGTGGATATTTATCATAATTTGGCGAAAATTAGCATATCATAACAAAACACATCTTATTAACATAAAGTATAAATTTGATTCATATTAATTAAGCATTATATACCACATAAAACAAATTGGTACTTACATTTTGTTCCGTTGGCAGTTGGTGGAATTTCGACAGCAGTCGCCAGTCATTAGTGTAGAATTCTAAAGGACATGGTCATCCATAAAATTTGTTCTCAGTCATGTTATTTGACCAATCAATGAGGTAATATATGCAAGTACCTAAAAATTAATAAAGCTCTTATCATCTTTTTTTAAAAATCCTTCTCATATTTTCACTGTCATCCTGTGAAAAAAAAACTTATAGAATAGTTTTCAAATATTAATCCAATCAATCTATAATTAATTAAATTCAGAAGTTCAGCTTGTTCAAGAATTTATTGTCTTTTCAATTTCATCAGCAACTCCTTTTACATTTTTATTTTAGATTACTTAAAATATGACATTATTTCTTGAATTAATGTATTATTAGCAATTAAGCAGAATCTTTTATTATATGCTATAGATGTTAATATATTTAAGCTTTTCTATTCATTGAAGAAATTTCTTAGTCATAAAAATTATGATCTGTTACTCTTCTAAAAACTGATCAGGTTACAGTGTAAGTTTATAGAAAAATCATATGGAAATATTTCATCGCAAATAACAAGATAAACAAAATGATGCCATGAGCTTACTGATTGCACACAAAAAGGGCATATATTTATTCTGTGCATAATCAAAAAAGCCCACAAAAACCAACTCATAAATAAATTTTTTGTTGATATAACGTTTGGTTAATCTTTGGATTATGGTAACTTAATGATTTTTTGGTGAGAAACCCTGCTATAGCAACCTGCTAGTTTTGGTTTGGACGCCATTTTGTTTTCACGTAGTAAAGGGTATGGTTTTTTTTTTTTTTTTTTTTTTACTTAACATTTTTCCAACATTGCTAGCGAATTACAATATAACTAGAACTTTTATAGAACAAAAATGCTTAATATGACGAAGATTAGGTTGAAACTGAGAAAAGGAGGAATCGCCCATGCTGCTGCATTTTAAGAATTCCACAACCGGATCCATGTATACGTCGACCTATTTCACTTAAAAAAACATCCAGAATTGTAAAAAAAGGCATTGCGCACACTCTTCACTTTATCAGTACACTGCAAGTCCTAGCTAGTAACCTTTATCGCCTTACAAAAATTCGCAAACTACCTGTACCCAATTCAATTAGCTAAAGTTTTTTTAGAGTTTTTAATTAATATCTCAGCTGATTAAATTGCATGAAGATTTGATGGTCAAAGTGGCTTCATGAATTTGGAATACGCGGGCAGTCTTTCTCGAAACTCAATCCTCACAATTTAGAGGAGAGAGGATACAAAAGACATATGTGCAATATTACTAGTATAGTTTTAAAATTATATTATATTTAATAGGTTTTTTATTTTAGTGGCCTTTGCCAAACTGAGCTTCCGTAAAGCGTTTTCGGTGAATCTTGGATATGTAACTTGGGAATTGCGACAAACCATGCTACAGCAACCTGCTGGTTTCTTTGGACACCATTTGTTTTCACGAAGTAAAGGATGTTTTTTTTTTTTTTTTTTACTTAACATTTTTTCCACAATAGGTAGCGAAGATGCTAGTGAACTTTTATGGAGAAAAGTGCTTATATGACGAAGATAGGTGCGAATTGGAGAAGTGAAGAATAGCCCATGCTTGCAGCGTTTTTAAGAATGCACATACATGTATTCATGAACACGTCACTATTTTCACTTAGAAACGCATCACAGAATTGCACACACTCTTCACTTATCATGTACATGATTAAAGTACTAGGAGTAACCTTTATAACTACCAAAATGTCGCCTAACTACCTGTTACATTCAAAGAGTAGCTGCTTTTTTTGTTAATAGTAAGTTTACATTGCCAATTTAAATACAGCGTGCGGGAAAAGAGCGATATAATGAGACTTACCAAACTTTTTCAGATCATAAGTTGGAATTTCTATTAGTGAAATGCTTTAGAGTCCATTATTATCGTTGACGAAAGTGCTGTAGTGTAGATTTAACTGTTCGAGTTTGAGCTGCTTTTCTTGAAAATCAGCTCAAACCTCACGTGAGCTATTTACCATTTGTTTGCAGTTTTTGTACATATAATGTATTTTTGAAATCTGTTAACTTTTACAAGAGTCCTTTTAAAATTTTTGTGCATAAATTTATTAATTTTCCTAACCCTTTTGATTTGAGTCATATCAACTTGTATTTTAACATTAGTTTTTACGAGATTCTTTACTACTTTATTATTGTTCTAGTGTTGAATGATTTTACATTTTTGCTAGGACACTAGAGTAAATGTACTTTTAGCATCAGCTTTAAACGTTCTCACTTCTAAAATATTTATAGTATTAATATATAAATCAAAAGTCTTATCCAGATGTCCAAATCCGGAATGATCTATAATCTGGACCAAAAGTACAAACTTTCGTGCATGCGTCAACGCATAATGCATTAAGCATGCAATAATACCTTATGCATGCCATAATGTATAATGGACGGTATAGCTAAGCTAAATTATCTATTATCTATTTCAGTTAATGTTGAGATTGCATGTTACTTAATCTTCTAACTGGATCCGGCTTTATTTTTGCAGACTGTTAGAGCAGTTTTATAAAAGTAAGCTTGAACTTTCGTTAGTCAAAAGAATTTCCGATTCGGAGCTACCAAAGGATATACAAAGGAAAGCACGTTTCGATGTCCATCAAACAAAAAGTGAAATTGCTGCAAAAAAAGGATAAAGGCATATCCTTAATTCTCTAATATTCCGAAATATGTTTATCAATTTCACGCTGCTCTGCCGGGGGGGGGGGACGAAGCGGCACGCAATGAACTGGAAGTTGATCTGTCAGCACTATCCTTATCTTCAGGGCAGATGTTTTTATTTTATTTGGCTTATAATTCCTTACTAAATGTAGTATTTCATCTCGATGTACTCCGTCTTTGATATGATTTAAATCAAATTCCTCATCATTACAAATATCATGAATACACATCAAATAGTTTTCTGGTTGCAATTTTCTAATTTCAACTATGCGTAATGTATGCTTTACGCTGCGAGTTGAAAGAAATTTAATAAAGTTAACATAATATAAAGCATTTTTTTTTGTAAATTTTGATACCCTTTAGATCATAATTGCTCTTTATTTCATAAATTACGGTTTCATATTTTTAATTTTATAATTTCTGCATGCCATCTTACCATATTTAAACTGATGATCTATAATCCGAAAAAATTAATAATCCGGAATCACCGACGAGTCCGGATTAAAGACTTTTGACTGTATATTGTAATAATAATTAAAGCCTCCTTATCAACTGCAGAATTTATGTTATTTGGATTAAAATGAGGTTCGTGTACGGCCTTCTTTTTCTTTTACTTAAAACTGTAAACATTCAAGTTAAGGGTTGTAACTTTATAAGACCTCTTTCCCCTCATGCTGTGTTATTGTATGGAGTGAGATACTATTTATTCACAATTTATATTTATTTATATTTCAGAAATTGAAGAACTGTCTAAATATGGAGTCAGTTTTCCACCTAATATGCAAGGCTTGACTCCTGAGCAGATTGCAGATTTACATTTAAAAGATGAATGGGCTGAAAAATACCTCACTGCTGACAATTACATTTTAAAACCTGATCCTGTTGGAAGGCGGAATGGTTTAGGTAAGAGAATTTTTCATGCACAAGCATTTGCAGAGGCTGTAATAAATTGTATTTAGAGAGAATTAATGGGTTTTTCTCAGAAGTTTTCATTTTATGCGTACTTTGAATTTGTAATTTTTATTCATCTAGGGAAAAGGGTAATTAAGAATTTTAGTGATCTTATTAATTTTCTGACATTGCTTGATTACACATTTGTATGATATTATGTGTATTAACTTCAAATTTCATAGCAGTTAATGATAAAGACAATAGAATGTTATACCAAATGTGATGCAAATTGATTTCTGGTTTCATTTTAATTATATTTAATAGCTATCTATATGTCTTTACTATCAAATCTATGAGCCATCTTTCTTCACTATATTAATTTTACAGACCTACACTTATTTATAAAACTGGAAACTCGGAGGAAAACCTTTTATGGGGGCCTTCCCTTCATTTTATTCAATATAGTAGTATTTATAAATTCTATAAAGTAGATAAATTGTATTTTAATGTTATATATCTGTAGTTCAATATAGTAGGTAAATTTAATTTTATTCAATGTAGTAGGCAAATTACATTTTTATTCTATGTGGTAAGAATATTGTATAAATCCAATATACAGTCAAAAGTCGTTAATTCGGACACCCATAATCCGGACCTCAAAACTACAACTTCTGCATGCGTAGCTTTCACGCATGCGCACAGGCGTTTAGAGCGCGTAAGACCCTTATGGCTGCGAATATGTTTGTGCGCATGCGCGTTTATGTGTAACGGAGTTATACGCTAAGCTAAAGTTATCTAATTCAGTTAAGTTGCTGATTGCATTGTTCCTTAATCTTCGAATGGATCCGCTTATATTTTTGCAGACTGTTAGAGCAATTTTATAAAAGTAAGCTGAACTTTCGATTATGTCAATAGAATTTCCGATATATATTTACTACAAAGCGAAGTATGTTTTGAAATCTGAAATCTGTTTATCAATTTCACGCTGCTCTGCGGCAGAGGGGGGGGGGCAGAAACGTCATTATTAGATTATGATATATTAGAAGATTATGTCAAAGAATTTCCGATATATATTTACTAATATGTAATTTGTATCTACAAAGCGAAGTATGTTTTGAAATCCGAAATCTGTTATCAATTTCAAGCGCGGATGGAATTGGATCTGTCAGCACTATCCTTATCTTCAGGGCAGATGTTTTTATTTTATTTGGTTATAATTCCATACTAAGTGTAGTATTTCATCCGATATAACTCCGTCTTTGATATGATTTAAATCAAGTTCTCGTCATTATATTCGCTTCCGTAGTGAAAAATGACCCAGAGGTTATTGAAACGAAAACATTTCGATTGAAAAATTAGTCAGTATTCTCAACACAGCCATTATAGGACTTGAACAGCGGAACTTTGTAACTAAACAAGAAATTATGTCTTTAATAGAGTTAAACAGAAAGTATATCACTGAAACGAAGCAAACTTACATTGAAGGAAATTTAATAAAGTAAATAAATAATATTAGCTTTTTCTTTTTGTAAATTTTGATACCTTTAGATCATAATTGTTCTTATTTCATAATTACGGTTTCATATTTTTAATTTTGTAATTTCTGCATGCCATCTTACGAGATTAACTGATGATCTAATCCGGAAAAAATCGATAATCCGGAATCGCCGAAGTCCCGACGAGTCCGGATTAACGACTTTTGACTGTAGTAAATAAATGTATTTTTATTCACTTTAAGAGGTATATTAGATAAATTGAATGTAGGAGATATTTATTAAATTATATTTTATCAATATAATAGGTACATTATAGAAATTGAAGGAACTACTCTGATATGCGCCCACAAGTCGCCAAAATTTGGCGAGAAATTTGAACTTTAAGCCTAAAATGTCTCCCAAAAAACGTGGTTTTCGCACATGCAAAAAACCACGTTTTGAACACATGATTTAAGATAAAAATCCGAAACAAAAACAGAAAATTTAGATAGCAAAAACATAAAGTTTCTAACCAGAAATATTTGGTAAGAATCCATGTACACAGCGATATGTTTTAACTTTAAAAAAAATCTATGAATGGCACAATCTAGGTAATGAACGAATCTACGAACTACTCACACCTCGCTTTAATAAATTAACATAACAACAATAAATTTCAAAGAATACCATGTACACAGCATCCTGTTTAAACTTAAAAAAACACCTTTGAATTGCACAATCTAGGCAACAATTAACATAACAATAATAAATTTCAAAGAATACCATGTATACAGTGTTCTATTTCAACTTCAAACATCTACGAATTGCACAATCTAGACGTTATGCACTAATCAACAAAATAAACTAAAATAATTAAAATAAATTTCAAACAATTAAAAAAACAACAATAACGACAGAAATTCATACTAAAAAAACAATGAACATAACATTCTGCAAAATAAGAACAAGAATAAAATAAAATGCACTTGCCATGGATTAATGCTTTTTCGAACAGCAGAAATACCAATTTCATACCGCCTTTAACATGTCACCAAGTAATCACTGTCGTATTTATATGACACCCAGGCACACTATCCAGAAAATTCATACTATGGTTAACAAATAAATAAAATCACAAATCCCTATCTCTATCATGCACAGCCACTAAAAATAATCTCCCAGACCCTCTTTCCACACCTCCAAATACCCACTGCCCCTCAACAGGTTGGCCACGATGATATTTCCTTTTGCCGAACTTCAATTCAACAACTTCTGCCATTTTATCTTTTCCCCCTATCTTCGCGAACCAACAAACTCCAGCGAAAGATTTTTTCAACATCAACAGGGTTGCCATACAACACGCAGTCGAGCCAAAAACCAGCGCAGAACACATATCGCCACATTTGGTGAAATTAGGCCGTATATCAGAGTTGTACCAAATTGAATATAGTTCATACAAAGTATTTTAAGAAGTAACTTTATAACTCAATATGTTTTCATCTAAAATTATTTTCACAAACAGCAGCAGAACTATTTCATATTTTCTGTTCACTTTGTTTTCATGATTTCAGGTTATTTTGTATTGCATAACATATAAGCTTATATATTTTAAATCAGTTTATTCAAACATTAATCAAAATTTCTAACTGTTATGAAAAATGAATCCAACTGAACAATATTGCCTTTCAATGAGAATGCAAGGTGTTCATGCACTTTTGAAGAAAGTCATGAAAAATTAAAATTTTAAATTTTGTTATTGCTTGTAATTATACCTTTTAAAAATTAGAATCAAAAACTTAATAAAACATTAGACCTCTTTTAAATATAATGAAAAATTTGGTGACCTGCCAGAAAGTAGAGATTTAGAGCTTGTATCCCATTTGCCTTTGCATAAATAAAACTGGTACTTTTCCATTTTGCCGGCACAGGTGATAAAGTCACCAATAATGGTACAACTGATGCCAAACAGAATATCCTCGCTGGTAGCCTTTTATGCCTCATTTTCAAAACAAGTAGCAGCCGTTTCTATCAGATTGATTGTTTCTTTCAATACTGGCTTACAATTACATAGAATTTTTACCAAATAGTTCAATTTTATGCCCTAAGGCCATTTGCGGTAATTAAGTCAAGTAAGATGCAATCGCACTGCTCACCCAAAGGCGAAAATATAGAAAAGGCAAAGTTAAGGATTAAATTCATCAATTCTAATAAGAATGCACTAGCGAAGTAAAGCACTGCGGTTTTACATAATTTCTGAGTAAGCTATTCGTATGAATTGAAATAATTCTTGCATTTAAAGTTTTATTCCAAATTAAGATTTTAACTTGAAATTAATGTAGATAATTACTGAGAGAATTAGATTTTTGTAGTATAGTTTACGTGAGATGAGATCACTTGGGGTCACTTGATATGAACCGGCGAATCAAGATATTTAACATGCTCACGGCGGCGCGGGCCATCATTGGTCCACACTAGTCTATGTGATCGGGCAGTGTGTACCACTGGTGGCCCGCGCTAGTCTGTCTCATTGGGCAGCACGTACCACCAGTGGCCTGCACTAGTCTGTCTTATTGGGCAGCGCGTGCTACCAATGGTACGCATTCGATTGTGTTATTTACTTTTTGAATAACATTTATAATTAATAACTATTAGCAAATGTACAACTCATATACGGGTTTGAACAGGTAATAATCATGCACCGCCAGATGAAACGCGGCAAAAATTCGAGCGCCGTCTCACAGCAAAGAACATAAAAATTGGCCTCGGTGTGAATGTGTTAACCATGAAAGCGTATTAAGTTCTTAAATTAAAACAAATTTATTGTCTTTATTTATTAACTTCTTAACAAAATTTTAAATGATATTAAAATGTTTATGTCTTCAAAATGAAAAATTCGTAGAACTAACATTTGTTAACATTTTTTATGTGTATACTGTATGTGGTCATCAGTAAAATCTGCTTGGTGAGATTTGCGCTGGTGAAACGGAAAAGTACCATCAAACGTTGCATGAGGCAAACATATTTCAGAAATTTAATCTGATATTAGAGCATTTTTAATAATTTTGTTTTATAATAAGGTAAACCTAAAAACCTGGGTTCTATTCTCAAACTCCTTTAATATTGACAGCTCATCATTTTACAAGCCACATGCCTCAAAATCCCATTAAAAAGCACCTCACAGACAGTATTCTGTTTGTTGCTCTTAATAAAGTGCAACTGCCAAAAAATTAATAAACAAACTTGAATTTCATGCAAAGGATGGGAAATAGGACTTCACCTGTAACCTTGTTTTGAAATTTACCACACTAAACTTCTTTTGTAATTTGTGTAAATACTGAATATTTTGATTAGTATATATATTTTACATTTGTATTCTATAAAGTAAATTGTAATTTAATCAAGATATTTTTCAGAATTTTATATATAAATTCAAACCCCTTTTTTATATGTGAAATCTATGTTAAAATATCTTGGTTACAAAATTGTACTACACATTTTAACTCTTGAAGTACACATAGATTTGAAACATGTAATAAAAAAATAAGCAACTTTTGAAACAATTTTAATAAAAAATTAAGCTGTCAGTGGGTTAAATGTCCCTCTGTATTTCGAAAAAGATATATGAATAAATAAATTTAAAAAAAAACCTTTTCATTTTTAAATGATTTTAACATATCTTTGCTATAAGTACTTCAGTTATAATTATATAAAGTTTTTTATATCTTTACATTTTTATCAGCAAATCATTCAGATAAAATTATAAATACTTGTATAAAACATAATATTGCAATTTAAATACAACTTAAAATGCAAAATTGAGATTATATAATTTTATTTATTCAATTATTGTATAATAATAATGTATGTTATATAGCAAAAGTGCTATCACACATTTTTGTGTTCAAGACTGCAACAGCATGTGACAAAGCAGAAAAATTGCCCAAAGAATTGTTCATACCTAATTATTTCTTATTGGATAAGAGCTTAAGATATTCACTATTCAGAATTTTTTTTATATATTGGATGACTTGAAACTGTCAAAGGATGTATTTTCTGAACAATTTATGCCCTTCAGTAGTTATTTTTGATATGTATACTTTATTCACTTGGATTTGTTTGTATTCTAACTTTATTAGGAATTTTAGAATTTCTAACTATTTTAAAAAGCATTTTGCATACATTTTGCTCTGATATTTTATATATAATCTTAAAAACTTCTGTACCTGATTTTTTTATCAAAAATAATATATGTACCATTCATAATTATTGAGTGAGCAGCTTAAACCTTATGTAATTTAGAAAATTCAAGCTGTACATTCATAAACATGACTGGTAATGGTTAATTGTGTGTTATGCATTGCCCCTTCCTCCAAATAAGACAGCACATGGAGACAATTTCTATTATTGATGGAATTTTTCATCTACTTTTTATTGTTTTTTCACTTTTACATTTTTCATTTCACTACATTTTATCACTTGCGTCATATTCTGATAATTATTTTACTATTGCATATATATGTATGCTTCCAGTGACACAGAAGTCTTTTGTTTGAGTTTATTATTTATATATAGAGATAGATGGATTATCATTATACATCTTACTGCTTTTAGCTCCTTTGAAGAATCATGCTGAAGTGCTGACAAAAACTACTGCAGAAGCCAAAACTAGGATTTCCCAAGTACGTAAATGCACATTTTCAGAATCCATAGTGCCTAATATAGAACATATCTGTTTTACTAGTTTTATGAGACATTTGTTCAAGTAACTGTTTATGTTGGAAATGAAACTCTCATCATTTGAACACTGCATTTGCATTATGAGTAAAGCTGTGTTTTCATATTTTCTTAAAATATAAGTTCAATTTTTAAAAAATTATCATTTATGTATAAATCCAAACTAAGCTTGAACTACTATTACAATATTTAAAATGCACCCATCTTACCAATGAAATGTGCTTTTTCCTACTATAATGGGAAATGAGATCTGCTATTTCATTTGCAATATTAAAGTGTAAACCAATTTCTAATTTTCTAATGAGTGCAGTTAAAGCTTAAACTGAATCAGTTTCTTTACAGTATAAAATGTTTTTTAGAATTTAGAAATTTTATGAGCTAAAGATGCTGCTGATTAAAAATTAAGATTTTATTGTTATCAACTGTGGTTTCCTCATATCATTAAATAATTATAACATCAAACTTACATTATGTAAGTATCTTTTCTTAACACTGACTGAAGAATTCGGTAAGTTTACTTTACAATATCCGTAGGTTTTGTTTCTTTCTTTTTTTAATAATATAATATTGCAATTTAAATACAACTTAAAATGCAAAATTAAGATTATATAATTTTATTTATTCAATTATTGTATAATAATAATGTATGCTATATAAAAGTGCTATCACACATTTTTGTGTTCAGAACTGCAACAGCATGTGGCAAAGCAGAAAAATTGCCCAAAGAATTTTTCATACCTAATTATTTCTTATTGGATAAGAGCTTAAGATATTCAACATTCAGAATCCATGAGTTTCATCCATGAGTAGTATAGAGAGTAATGCAATTTATCATCACCTCTAAAATTTAGTATTTCAAAATGTAATCTTAAGTACAATTTTTAAATGTTTGGAATATTGTGTTCTGTTCATTTCAGTATTTCAAAAGTCTATTGCAGATAGCTTGAGCTTGACAAATTAAATTTTGGTCTCATTCATTTTGCAAGGAAAATTCAATATTAAGTTACACCAGATTATTGTTGATCAAGGAAATTTTATTCTGTGGTTCACTGAGCAGTACAACGTAGGCACTCTTTGGTGGTCAACAGCAGCCAGGTTTGTGTATAACTTTACGCTACAAGACGATAACTGCTTTGTCATTCAGTTCTCAGCCACAGATGCTTGTATACTTAGAAAATTATTCAACTTGTACAAGATGAATCAATGCTCTATTCAGACTGCTTGAAGAGATATAAAATATTACTTCGGTGATTCCAAATATAGAATTTGTATTTATGGTTCACAGTAAAGTGACTGTAACCAGCTTTTTCAAGTTGCTCCATTTCATATCTCTTTAGGCAGTCTGAATAGATTGTTCATTCATTGATTCATCTTGTATAAGTTGAATAATTTTCTCCATAAGTATACCAGCATCTCTAGTTGAGAACTGAATGACAAAGCAGTCATCATCATGCAATGTATTTCTCCGAAAATCCATTGTTGTGGAAGTATTCTGCTGCTGTTGTTCTTACGTCAGACAAACAAACTTTCATCAGTTTTAACTATTTTATTGGAATTGCTTACTTGTCCATTTAATCTTTGCATCATGCTGCTATTGATTGGAAAAATTTACTTTACTGTGAACCATAAATACAATTTCATAGACCCAACAATGGATGGTTACACCTAAAGTGTGGAAAGAACGTGGCACAATTAAAAAAAAAAAAAAAAAAGTAGGGCAAGGCGAGCCAAGTAGCATAATAAAAAAGAATGGGTGACAGCTCAGCATCACATCAAATTACATCTTTTGGAATTTATTGGAGAAAGTACATAAGAAAAAACTATGTTTCTGATGAATTGTTGAAAGTAGTTTTGGAAATATTGCCTTGTCATAATGATTAATAAAAATATTCTTAGGAAAGAGTATGTGAGTATTCTTCTTAGTATTATTCATTTTGTCATTTATTTTCGCATTCATGCTTCATTAGTTTGGTAAAATCATAGCTGCTATCTTGGCATAATCCTAAGGTTGCCAGATAACATCAGGAGCTGCCATGATTTAAATTGTTTGCACAGTTTGACACTGGCTGGATGTGACATTGGTTTGATCTTAAACTTCCATAATTTCAGAATGATTTTCATTCTAAAATAGGCTATTATAATGAAACTGTTTCTGTAAGAAAAGGAGATATGGATGTGAGCTTTATTCTCTGTATGCATCTCTTTTACTGTACAGTTCTATATTTGGAATCACCAAAGTAATATTATTTTTCTCATGTTGTCTTTTCCCATTTTGTTTTACTTTACAGTCTGCAAAACGTGTTCTATATTTTATTTATATACTTCGCAAAATTAGAAGCTTTATTTATAAATATGCTTAACAAAATTAGAAGTTAATAATAACTAGCTATGAATCCCTTTGTATTCTTTTATTTAGGAGAATGTTACTTTGAAGCAGAAATAGATTAACCCTCTGAGTGGCATGCTCGTCATTCTGTAGTCAGATTTTTTGTCATTTGGTATATATTACCTTATTATTTAAAATACTGTATTTTCTTATTTACCTTAATGAATAAAAGTTTATAAAAATTTAGACTAAAGTAATGAATTGTACAAATATAAGTAATAATTGATGTTTAAATATAGTTCTGTATAAGCAGATAAAAAAAGTCATGCTACTCAGAGGGTGACAAAGATTTTAATGAGTTTTTAATGATTGCAGTGTAATAATTTAAAAAAAAATGTCTGAATAAGCTTCTTTGGTACCTCCTTATTATAATGGTCCTGAGATTGAATCACTAAACAATCAAGTTAGCTTGCCAAAATCTCACCACATGTCCTTATATTAGCATTGTGTTACATCTTTGCTCTCACCATATGTTTCATTTTTGCTAAGGCTATTAGCATCATGTTTCATTTTTGCTAATGTTATTAGCATGATGTTTAATTTTTTGCTAAGGTTTTTCAAACTCGTTTTTTAAAAATATTCCTTGCCTCTTTTGTAAACATGCAATTAACAATCTTTAATTTACCAAATAAAGAGGTGGATGTCGTATAATTTTTTTCAAGAAACAGATCTTTTACCTGACAAATGAATATGCGAAAATAGCCACAGAGTGAAAGTATATGTTAATCATGAAAACGTACATGCAGGAAGCATGTAATTTTTCCAGTCAATAGCAGCATGATGCAAAGATTAAATGGACAAGTAAGCGATTCCAATAAAATAGTTAAAACTGATGAAAGTTTGTTTGTCTGACGTAAGAACAACAGCAGCAGAATACCTCCACGACAGTGGATTTTCGGAGAAATACATTGCAGGATGATGACTGCTTTGTCATTCAGTTGTCAACTAGAGATGCTGGTATACTTATGGAGAAAATTATTCAACTTATACAAGATGAATCAATGAATGAACGATCTATTCAGACTGCCTAAAGAGATATGAAATGGAGCAACTTGAAAAAGCTGGTTACAGTCACTTTACTGTGAACCATAAATACAATTTTGTAGACCCAACAATGGGTGTTCACACCTAAAATGTGGAAAGAACGTGGGATTTAGTCAAGTGGTATAGTAAAAAAACAGTGGTGCACAGCTTGGCATCACCTCAAATGATATCTTTTGGAATTTATAAGAGAAAGTACATAGGAAAAAATTATGTTTTTGATGAATTGTTGAAAGCTGTTTTGGAAATATGGCCCTGTCATAATGATTATTAAAAATATTCTTAGGAAACAGTATGTGAGTATTATTGTTATCATTATTCATTTTTGTCATTTGTTTTCACATTCATGCTTCATGAGTTTGAAATCATAGCTGCTATCTTGGCATATTCCTAAGATTATGAAATAAGATCAGGGGCTGCCATAATATGGAAGTACTGCTTCTTTTCAGTGATAAAATTCTTGTGGGACTTATCTAACTTTTTTCATATTCATGCAGATTATTATATTTTGGAGTATATTCTTAGTTTTGTTGAAATACTCAAGTAAAGTTAATGAATAATGTCACTGTATTTGGAAATGAACAATGGTCATAGTTTTTTAAAGAAATTACACTTATAAAAGGAGGGGAAATGTGGTGTTTAACTTTAATCTTAGTTTTTGTTTTTTAATTATTTATTTTCTGGCTAAGAAATAAACTTTACTTGTAATTTTATATAAAACATTTAAGGTCAACTGTAGAAACTTGTTATTACATGAAATTTAATAATGAAAATGCATAATATTCATTAACGGAAACCAGTTATAACAATCATATTATGTTTTGTTTGTAACTAATTTGGAAAAAAACCTTTAGTTAGATTCTAAAATTTGAAAAGGGAAAAAAAGTGTAAAATAATTAATATATGTGCATTACATGTAGCATATGCTTGCTTCAATTAAATAAATTGTAATTTCTTTCATACAGGTTAATTGTTTCAGGTATTGTGTAAATTAATATTTCTGTTTTAAAAAAATTGTGAAAATGCTTGTAAGATAGTTCTATTTAAAATCTAAAAAATTATTACCTTATAACCTTCGGAGGAACATTCATCAGAATGTACCAACTTTCTCCAGTGCTTCTGCCATTCTTGGATAAAATGATAGAATGTTTCATTTGGGATGGTGTAAACTGCCTTGATTTGAATTGTCAATTTGAATTGCCTCAAAATACTGACCTTTCGAAAACATCTTTATAAGAGAGAATAATGAGCATAGAGGACAGGAAATCTTGCAAACAAAATGGTCATGTCATGACAGAGATCTGTTTCTGATCAAAGAAACCCCAGCTTCTTTGCTGAAACCCTCCTTTGCTCAAAAATCTGAGATTGGACCAAATGGTCAGTTTAATTCTGTTTATGTTTGTAATACAAACTATGTCTTGAATGAAGCCACTTCATAAATTTCTTCTGTAGAGCAAATATTAATGCCTTCTAACAACCAAATTCAATTATTTCAATTCTCACGCGTATAAAATGACATTTTTGTAAATATTTTTAATGGGAGAATATGCTTGATATTTTTTTAAATATTCAAACTAAAAGTATTTTTTCCTCAAACATCCCATCATTGACTTAGTGGATAAGATTAATAAGCACTGATAGTTCTTTCAGATTTGATTTGTCCAGCTACTGAATATGTTTGTTTAGGGTTTTCATGGATTTTTTATTTTACTATTTTTTATTTTTTGTTTATGTGATAACATCAGTCAGGTGCTTAACAAAAGCATCTCTCTTAAAGCAAAGGATTCTTGAATGCTTTGTTGTGATGAGTAACATAACAGAACCATCTCCCTCTTCCTTTGAACTATTTTTTCCCCTTAGGCATGCTAGAAAATGTCAGTGTTAAATTGCAATCCAGTAATATTTATTTCTTTTGGGTAGAGAAATCTTCTTTATTCTCCATTATTTATTATCATAATAACTTGAAAGCATTAAAGATCCGTTCCATCCATATTATTATTTATATATATGCATTTTGTTACATTTTTGCTAAATTTATAGATAATAAATAAAATGAATATCTTTTTATGTTTAGAAATTAGCAGATGCTGGTGTGTGCTTAGCTATATCCAGTATTAATGAATGCTTGGATATGTTAAATGGTGCAATAATGATAACATATCCAATGGGTCTTCCACCATATGAAGTCGTCAAACAAGAGCTGGAAGGAAAAGAAGATTTATCTGGAACACAAGTAATTGCAGTTTATATGTGGAAGCCCTTTCTTTTGCCTAATATTTATATCATAATTTTACACAATTATTAAATTGTACCCGAGGTCTTTATTTATTGTAAGAGGATAGTAATAATAATTTTGATCTGAAACTTATTTTAAAGTATTTTGGTACTGTTCTATTATCAGGACCAGATTCAGAAATTATATGTATGTATGCATGTATATAAATATATAAGTATGAATATATGTGCATGTATGCATATGCACATACATACAAATACACATTCATACATTTATACATTTCTGAATCTGGTCTCGATAACAGAACAGTACCAATATTTTTAATAAATTCATGATTACAATATGTGACAAAAAAGTTATTTAATTATTCTTTCCTTCATCTTTTTCTGAAACATATAATACAGGTTTACTATAACTGATTCCTTACATTCCAAAACATATTTTTAGATGGGTTACACATATGATCATAAATGATGCATGAAAAGAAATAAAACTCACTAAGCTTTCCTCACATGCTGCATATATTCTCGTATGCCCCATTGGTCACATAACACAGTAATTTTATCATATAGTGAAGTCATAGTCAAGTCTTGTTATACCTTTTCATAGCTTTACTCTGCAAATGCTCATTGAAATAACACTGAAGAGCTTTAATTATGCCCTAGAAGTGTTGATTTTAAACATACAGTACAAAGTCCGTAATCCAGACATCCATTATCCAGAATGATCTATAATCTGGACCTCAAAGCCACAAACTTTTTTTTGTATGCTTTACGCAAGCGCATTTAATGTATAACAGACAGTATAAGCTAGGCTAAAATTATCTTTACTGATTCTAAGGCATTTCAGTTAATGTTGCAGATTGCACTGTTCCTTAATCTTCTAATTGGATCCGGCTTATTATTTTTTGCAGACTATTAGAGCAATTTTATAAAAATTAAGCTTGAACTTTTAATTATGTCAAAAAGAGTTTTCAATTCTGGAGCTGCCAAAGGATCCACAAAGCGAAAGTTCGTTTCAATGTCCATTAAACAAAAAGTGGAATTGCTGCAAAAAATGGATAAAGGCATATCCGTCTCAAAATTATGCAAGGAGTATGACACTGGAAAGTCAACTGTATATGACATAAGCAAAAAGAAAAAAGAAACTTTTTGAATTTTTTGTGGATTCCAAACACCCCACTTGCAATGAATAACAAGAACAAAAAAGGGTGGTCATTATGCTAAAAGTGACGATCATGACAAAGTGATGATTGAATGGGTCAGACAGCATCACAGCAAGGGCATGCCATTGATGGGTCCAATACTAATGGCTCAAGCCAAAATATTTCATGAAGAAATGAACTTAAACACTGAGTGCACATGTTCGACAGATTGGTTAACCAAATTAAAAAATCGCCATGGTATAAGGCAATTAAAAATTTCAGGTGAAAAAGCTTCAGCAGATACTGAAGCTGCTGAACAATTTGTAGATGAATTCATTGAATTCATTACTAGTGAACAATTACCTCCAGAACAAGTTTACAACGCTGATAAAACTGGTCTTTTCTGGCAATATGTACTACGAAATACCTTGGCAACCTCTACAGAAAAGGCTCCAACTGGTGTCAGCCTATGGATATCGGAATAGTGTCCTTGCTGAAAGGCAAATATAAAGTAGCATTTTTAAAATCTATGTTAAATTTCTTGAAGAATGGCAAGAATATTTAAGACTTTTTGAAATTTTTTAGCATAAAATCTGCTGTGTGAAGCATCGCAAGATTGTGGGAGGATGTGTCTCCAAATACGTTAAAAAATGCTTGGCATAATTTATGGCCAGCTACTATATTTCATGGTGAAGACGACGAAGATGATAGCCACGAATTTGAAGGTTTCCGGACATCGCAAACTAAACGTGAAATTTTCCAGTTATTGGATTTTGTAAAGAAATGTGGAGAAGTGGTAATAAATGAAGATGATATAACAGAAGTTTTTCATTGCGACGACAATGCTCCAATCATCAATCAACGGATGGCGATGTTATGTCGCGAATTTCAATTACTAATATGTGTTTTAAGTTATTATTATTCTAATATTTTTATTTGTATTCATGTGTATTTTAATCTGGAAAAAAAGTATTCTTAAACTCTTAAGGTTCTATTTAACTCATTATTCTTGAGTAGGAATTGTAACAAAGGCGAGAGACGGTTGCAAGGAAACACATCTGGTTTATTGGGTTATAGCCTTTTTTCTACTAATGGAGGCAGTGGGTGTGTGTAGGGTCTTTTAGCGTGTGAAACGGAAATCGCTTTCCTGTCGCTTTGGAAGTTTTGCAGTTTATTACTTCAAGACAGTGGGTGGGGTGCTGGTAATTGGATTTTCGTAAAAGCTTAGTTTCGCTTGTTAGTTGGGGGGGGTCTATTTTTTTCTCACGTTATGAGTGCAGATGTTTTTTCGGATTGCATTGTCAGATTTTCTGGTGTTTGATTCGTCATCGTCTGGGTGTGTCATTTTCTCAATTTAGATAACTTAAAATTCCGGGATTGGTAAGATTTAATTTTATGATTTTTTGAAAGCCTATGAACTCAGAGAGGCGGAGAAACCGAGTTTTCCTGGGTGCTTGCACCAGGCTAGAGATCATTCTGATTCTGATTTTCAAGAAGAGTAAGAGAAGAAAAAGTGGGGGCTTGACCCTTCGGGTCTTGCTTCTCGCGAGCCGCGTGAACAGCCGGCAGAGGGTATGATTTTTCTCTCGGCTTTTAGCTGGCGAGAATTTGCGTTGGCATAAGGCATAGAGCTCCGCAGAAGAATTTCGATTTCTCTTATCCCAAGAATTGTTCGGCAGATTCTCTTGGTGATCCTGACATCCTGATGCGGTATTCCTGTTTTTTTACCGGCTTTGACTTCCTAATTAGATTTTGTTCCAAAGGTGCTCTACGCTTATGGTGAGTTTCGGGGCTTCCAGAATGAAAGAGACTCGTGTAGGACCCTTCTAAGGTGTGCATTGCTGTTTATTCTGCCTGTGCCAGCTGCGTCGATTTTTTTTTCATCATTCCATGCTCTGGAATTTATTTATTGTAAGGACAGCTTCAATGGTGTTTGCAACCAAGTCATCTTTAAAATTCGCAAGAAACTGTCTGCCTCCATTAACGATGATTTTGTGAATAAAGGACAGCAGGAATAATGTGGTGCTCGAGTAAACTTTGGACGCTGGACGATCTGTGGAGCTGTCAAATCACCTTATTAAATCAGTATACGAAGGTATTCCCGAGTAAAGTGAGTGTTGCAGTTTGGACTTCACCCCGTGAGTGATTTTTTTTTATTTGTTTTACTTCAATAATTATCTTAATACTCAAGCAAGAGTCGTCATTTTAATGTTTGTTGAAATTTGAGCAATTACTTAAATTGAATTAATCGATGTGGAAATTATCAGTGTTCTTAAAGTGAATTACCATGATAAATACTTAAAGTTAGAAGATGAAATGGGAGAAAATACTAGTGTTACACTTATGATACAGTAGAATTTGATAATGTTAATCTTAATTATATAAGCTGTAATTTGGTTGTAGTATTTGTGTAGTATTATGTGTTATTTTGCTTAGAAAAAAAAATATGGTATTGACTGATCAGTTATCCATTATTTAATTATATAATATATAGTCAAGAATTTAATAAATGTGTGTTTAAAATTTAATTGCATTTGTGTATTTATGTGTGTATAATTTTACTGTGGTCTGTCATGTCCCTCCATTTGTTTGAGCCGGGAGGCTTTTAAGAAACATGGAGTTTAATTGAATTTGGAGTTATTGATTTTCCCTTTACATAGGTTACTCACAACGCAAACCTTAAAAGTAAATTGTACTACCACTATACGATGTTTTATTCATTTATGAATATTAGATAGAATGTTTGAAATTTTAATTTTAGTAATTTGTCGGCACCAAATTAGTAAAGTTAAAAGTATTAAAAATAATTTTTTCATTTAAGTAAAGTAGTCATATGGTTCTGGATTCAGAAAATACTGCTTCTGATAGTGAAGAAAGTGACAGAAAGGTTATTGAAAATGAAAAAATTTTGATTGACAAGTTAGTTGGTATTCTCAACACAACAATTACAGTACTTGAACAGTGGAACTTTGTAACGGAACAAGAAATTATATCTGTTTATAGAATTAAAGAGAAAGTGTTAGCACAAAAAACAAAGCAACTTAAACAACTTACATTGAAAGAAATGTTTAATAAAAGTAAACAAATAAATATTAAGCTTTTTTTTTTTTTTTGTAAATTTTGATACCCTTTAGATTATAATTGCTCTTTATTGCATAAATTGCGGTTTCATGTTTTTAATTGTATAATTTCTATATGCCATCTTACTATATTTAAATTGATGATCTATAATCTGGAAAAACCCCTAATCTGGAATTGCTTAAGTCCCGACGAGTCCAGACTATGGACTTTGTACTGTAATATATATAACGCACTTCCTTAATAAATCATATGTCGTTATATCAGGAGATCTAGGGGGGAGGAGGTTTTCTATAAAGGTATAGATTGAACCTGAATACCACTTGGATGTGTGCCTTGTGACCCATGGGAGGAAAATTTGGTGAGTTTTCAAATTTTTTCATATAATGGTTATTACTATATGTGTAATACTTTTGTTCTAAAATTTGATGAATTGTTTGTCAAAGTCCTGTATTTGTATTGATTTATTAAAATTTTTTCATTATGTGTATGACATAAGAACTCGATAAGGTCTCTGTGATCGGAATGAGACTTCATTAGAATAGGTTCAGAAGCAGTATTTGCTTTGTTTGATTCTTAAAGGCAAAAATTTCCCCATATATATGTTGCTAGAAATCCGTGCATCTTAGAATTGATGGCAAATATAGATTTTTCTGAATTATTTATTATTCAGAAGTTATTAATTTTTTCCAATTGTTGCTTTAAAAATAAATGCTATTTTAAACAAAGTTGATTATTTAAAAAAAGCATTTACTAAATGTTTCTCAATGATTTATTTCCATTTATTTTATTTAATTAATTTCCTAAAATCTTTTTCCCTGTTGTTGGCTATGAAATTAGAAATTCTTAAAATCTATGCTGCCTTTCTCAATTTAACATTATTTATAATCTTAGTATTAATTTCTTATCTGCTGTATAATATTTAAGTAATATAATTTTTCTTTCTGTAAAATATAAAAATAAGTTATTGAAGAAGTAAAGTAACTAATTTCGATATTTTAAAAGAAAAACTATTTGAAGTAAACCACTTACTTTGAATATTGCATTACATATTTTAACTATAGGTAAATATCTTCAAGTATTAATATTTTATTTAATACTAATTTAGGGGAGACTTGTTAATACCTGTAACAAATGTGCGTTGTTGATTTCTTGGCAATAAAATGTGCAGTTAATACTTTTATTTTTTAGATAAATAGTAATATTTACTAACTTATTTTTACTTGAAAGCATATTTTTTTCCAAGTTTTATGCTACAATTAGGAATAATACAAAGATTTTTTTTTTATCCAACTAGAAAACTGAAGCAGGTTTATAGAAATAAAGGTGTAGGTCTTGTATTTACCTACCCTACCTGGAAGTGAGGTACAGTAAAGGAATTCTGTAGTAGTAACGATGAGAATTCTTAGATATTAATAAAATATAGTAAAATAATAGAATATTTCACAGAATTTCATTCACTTCTTATTTTCAAAATTTTTGCTGTCCGGGCAAGTTTGAATAAATTTGCAAGTTGATTCTCTACTGTGTTTGAATTGTTAATTAATGTATTCCAATACATAAATTAAGTAACTTAACATTTAAAATAATTTTAGTATTTTTTTTTATTGATTAAGCTTTTTAAGTTTTAGGTTTTTGAAAGAATTCATGTTAACCTTATGTAAAAATGCATTTTTAGGCAAGTAAAGAGGTTTTTGAAGAAGATAAAACAGAATTATGGTGGGCTGGAAAGCAACTTGAAAAGACTAAATCATTAAGTGAATATATTGGCAAGAATGAAAAAAGCAAACTTGTTGTGAAATTACAAAAGGTAGTTGACATTTTTTAATTATATTATAGGATTTTTGAATGAATAACTTGATATTCTTTATGTATTTTTGTTGCATTTGTATTTGAAAAAAAATTTTTTTTTAATAATCTTATGTTCAATTTGTAGTTATTCTTTTGTGCGGCATACTTCATACTCATCTCTGTGCCTTGTATTTAAATACTTATCTTGCACACCAAGACAATTACAATTAGTAGTAATAATAACAAGCAGATAATAAGTATATATAAAGTTTTAATTTTTTTTTTTTTTTTTTTTTTTTTTTTTTTTTTTAAATACAAGTTTGTAAGTTTGAATACATCATGTAACTGTAGAGAATAAAAGGGCTAATGAATGTCATTTCTGCTGAAATGTTGAACATATTTTTGTAATTTTAGAAAGGCCATGGTGCTCCAGCCAAAGAACCTGTTTTGACAGAGCAACAGAAAAAAGATTTAATGCTAGCAGAATATCGGAGACGAGAAGAACTAAAGGTATACTTAGCAATCAATGTACTAATAATCAACATTCAGATTGCAGTATATTTCAGCTTAAATAATATATAGCTTTCATAAGCATTTAATTTTTCTGAAAACACCTATTAAATCAGCCATTCAGTAGCTGAGTGGTTAAAGCTATGAAGCACTGATAGTTGTATTTAGTATTAGTATTAGTTGTATTTGTATTGTATAGTATAGATTTAGTTCCTGACAGCAGATATTGCTACTACATGTACATTTAATGGTTTTTTTCTCTATATAATATACAATCTATCTCAGAAATGATGAAATGCTTTTAATTTCCAAATATAATGTAACAAATTTTGAAAATATTACACTAAAGCTATATAAAATATCATTTTTTTTAATATACATTTACCTAGTATTCCTGTTATATAAAATGCTTTTCTTAAAAGTAAAGTATTGAAATAAAGTGGCAAAATCATGCTACAAAATTCATTAGACACTCATTAAATCAAAAAAAAAAAAAAGACTTTAAAATTTTAATACTTTATTTTTCATTAGTTTTCAGAACATATTTTATTTTATTTATTTTTTTTTTTATTTTTATTTATTTATTTATTTTTTGCCTGGATTCAGCTAGTTTTCTTATCATTTTCAGCTACATTTTTGGCTGCTCTTATTATTAATAAGAATAATTGTTTTAAAGAAATTCTTTATTTTTAGATTTTATATTGCATTTCTCACCATATGTGTGTGATAACATTTAATTTTGAACACTAAAGAGGTGCTTTGAATATTTCATGAAAATTGAACTGCAACAGGAGTCACATAGTCATAGCAGCATGCTTGAGGTCATTGTTTTGGCAGAATTTTGGAATTACTTTAAAGGTTAAGATTTGTGCTGGCAATTTCAGGTTTCGTTTTTAGCTATCATAATATTTGTATTGATCCATTATAACGTCAATAAATTTAATATTTATTTGACATTGCTCATAACACTCCTATATCATAACTTCTCCTTTGCCATTTGTTAATGTTGGAACTAGCTTCAGTTTTAAATAAAAATAAAGTTAACTTTGGTTTTCCTGCATATTAAAAATTCATCCTTATCTAAAATAAAATAAAAAATTAATTTCCTTCATTATTAATATTACCTTATTTCAGTATTCAAACTTCATATTTTTTATGGATTTTAATAAAGAATGTTAAAGTTTCTTGCTTTTATAGAAATAGAATTTTTAACTTATCATCCCGCCATAAGATCGAACACAATGGATTCTATTTTAACATTTTTTTCAGTTAAAGACACATCTGCATGATTAGTAAAGTTCTTAAAGTTTAGGAATTTTCTTCAATTATTTTAGTTATTTTTTATGATATGTTATTGATATCTCTTGTGTCTTCACCCATTTTGAATTTTATAATATGTTGAATACTAAGTTTCTGCATCAAAAAATGTTGAATGCTTTAATTTAACTATTTCAACATTTTTTTTGATAGATTTTGATTTTCCCGAATGCATGTCAAAAATAAATAAATAAATTTCTAATCATGTGTAATTACTTTAATAAATGATGGCAACAAAATGAGTTAAAGTATCATAAATGTATATATTAATTTAGAAGTCAAACAACAAAAATCAGCATTATATTTTCAAATTTTCACAAGACTAATTTCAGTGGTTTTACTGAACCATCATCCTCAGCTACAAATGAGCTAGATAGGATATAATGATTAGATAAGATAAGAAGATTACCTTTGGCCTTTAAAGAAATTATGTTTTAGTTCTGGTTTCATCAACAGATGGTGCCAGTAGCTTATCTCCTGTCCAGACTTTCTTATCTTATCTAATCATTATATCCTATCTTGTTCATTTGCGCTTTTGCAGCTGAGGATGATGTTCGGTAAAACCATCGAAACTAGTCCTGTGAAAATTTGAAAATATAACGCTGATTTTTGTTGTTTGACTTCTAAATTAATATTTATTTGGCATGTTATTGTATCTTAATAAATTTATATCTTGAATGAAGAATTCAAAAAGACAGTTTTTTAGATGTTTTCTGTTGCTTTCATGTAAAATAATGCTAAGACTTAATATATTTAATATATTGCAGATATGTTATATATACAGTCTTAGTAATTTCAAAATATGGTTTCACATGTGACATAATTTTCCCATTAGAAAGAAAAGATTTCAATTTTTAAACTCTGTGTTTTATTTCTGTAAACAGCATTTCATATAAAAAGAAAGCTACGCAAATGTATGTTTTAAAGGGAATTATATTTTATAGTTTTAGTATAAGCAAAATTTAATACTTAACAAACAGTCCTAAATGAGAATTAATTGGAAGATTATTTTATCCATATCTAGATTGCAAAATTTCTAAAGTTGCATCATAATTTCCTTTTTTAATGCTAAATAAGAAATAGTTTTAACAGTCTAACCACTGTGAGAAATCCCCCAAAAATATATTTACCATTAATTTGGTCAATTTGAATACATTTCGATATTTTGAGAAAGACATTGGGTAGAGTTTAAGACAGTACTGTTTGTAATCTGACTCCTACTAGAAACACCGTTAACTTCAAAATTTAATTCTTCAGGATTTTTTTCATTCAGTTTACATTTGTAGTCTATTAAATTATATAAGTATTCTCCACTATTAATTATTTCACTTTCATCAGTTAAGTTCAATATTTCATCATCAATCAATTTCATGTTAATTTTTTTAGTTAATTGTGACAAAAAAATTTTCAAATCATTCGAATCAGTTTTATTGATATTATCATTAATATTTTTAATTAGTTATTACACCCTTTTGAATTGGTAAATTGAAAAAGGTTCTCTTCTTTTTCGATTTTTCAATATCCATCTTTTATAATAAAAGCAAAATTTACCTCTTTTTTCCACATATCCAAAGTTACCTAAAAATTTCCTTCTGTACACACAGAAAAATTGAATGAAAGAGGATTTGAAGGTTACTATAGGTTACTCTCAACTTTCTTTATTTATAGTAGATGGCAGTCAAACACTAACCAGTCCATATATTTTAGCCATGTTTAGTTTTTTAAGACCTCATTTTCAAAGAAATCTGGAAATTTTTTTTAGGGTATAAAAGGAATTGTTTGAAAAAGAATTTCTCTATGTTTTTTGGGGGGGGGGGCTGTAATATTTCCTTATCTATATTATTTAAATTCTTCCTTGAAAATTAATCGAACGGCGAAAAACGGTTTTTCCCAGACTGGGCTCACTGAGAGGCAGGTGTATCTTTGTTTCTCTACTGCTCATTAACATAGAAAGACGGGTCCACATCTGTGTTTCATTTCCTGTTTTTCTCTTTCTTCTTTTCCTTTTGGGGGGAGGGGAGGTTTGGTTATCAATAACAAATTGTTGGGGTGATTTTCTGAAGGTCAGAGATAATTTTATCAGTTAGCTGTTTGGTTTTTCGCTAGAGCAGTTCTCTTTCTTTTTTATCGAAATTCCAACTTTAAAAGGTAGCGTGCCGGAAAGGGTTAATCCAATACAAAGAGACAATAGTATCAGTTTGACATTCATTCCCTAAGTTCTGTTTTTGAGTTATTATTAGTTATTAATAGTTCAAAACACGAATATATCAAATTGGAAGTGCTCAACCCTTTCAACATTACAAACATGTGCCATATGCAGACAAGCAGTCTCGTTTGTCATCTATTGTCTCATGCTGTTTGCAATGAGACAAGAAATGGCCACCTTACCACAGAATTTATGCAGTACACAAATTGCTTATCTCATATATCTCTGTCGTATTACATACATAAATTCTGTGGTAATCCAAGACAACTAAAACTGTACTATTGTTGGGTGAGTCTCCTGAGCATTCATGTTTGTTAATACAAACATCATTAACATATAAATAGTGTAAGTTGACACACCAACCCTATACTATACCTTAAATGTGGTTTCAGATGCATATTTATTTTTCATATGGCTAACTAAGAAGTAACTTTTCCCTTTTTTCTAATGCAAAATGTATTTTCAAAAAGTAACTAATCATTGGAAATTCTTAATTAATTCATATTCTTTAGAATAAGAATTGGATTAAGAATTGAAATTTCCTGTAAATTAGGATAAAACTGCCTTAGGGAATAAAGTTTTCAATCTTACCTTTCTGTTTAGTTCTTCCTTTTCTATATTACTTCAGTTTTAATTTTTGTTTTTATAATAATCAAGATACATCAATTTCATTTCAGAAACTTGAAGATGATGATGATGATTCGCATTTAGATTCACAGTGGGCTGATAACAGTCATTTGAAGAAATCTTTTCTTGGATTAAATAAAATACGATTCAAATGATATGATAGACTTAAAGGTGTAATCAAAACTTTTTTTATATTTACTGAATTAATATTATATGCAAAATTAAGTAAATTATTCCATACTAAAATCTAGAACTCAAGAAAAATGCAAGAAATATACACTTCAATACAATGAAAGCTGTCACTATTCAATTATGGCATTCCAGTTACTTTAATAATATCTATGTCACACATATGACAGCAGTGTTTTAAAGCTTTCTTAAGTCATATACATTATTAAGGCAAGGAAAAAATAGACTTGCTTTTTTTTTCACCCCTCTTTTAAAATATCTTTTCAGAATCAATATAATTTTTGGAATATGAAGAAAATATAGATTTACTTTTTTACTATTCTTTTAAAATATCCTTTCAGAATGGATTTTCTTTCAATCTAATTCATTAATAATAATGAATAAATAGATAGGAAGAATCTCTTTTTGCATTTTATATTTAATTCTGTTAAATTTTAGGATATCCTATCAAGAAAAACTAAAATCAGAAATTTAAAACATATCAGTCTATTTCCTTATTGCATCATCACCAGCCTTTTAAAATATGTGTGAATAAAAGCAATGAAAAATTACTTCTACCATAACTTTTAAAAAGTGTTTTTCTCCTCATATAATTATTGATTACTTTTCTAATTATAAATGCACTCACATAGCAAAATACAGTTTCTTGTTAAAAAGTATGTTATGTATAGTCTTATGTTTTTGTATAGCATAATGCATGTTGAATGCATATTGATTTTAAAAGCAAATAAATATATTAAGCAGAAAAGGCCTGAATTTATTCTTAGAAATTTGCATATGATGAAAAGAAATTTTTTACAGATTAGATTAGTTCTGTACATACTGCATTTGGTCCTATTTAGATTCATTTCACTTACTTCATTTCCTTCATATACTACTACATACTTCATATACTACTACGTACTTCATTTCCTTTTTGCGACATAACAAGTAACTAAGAATTTCAGCTATCAAAGATTAGTTTTAACTTAAGTTACCATACGATCTTTCAGAGAAAAATATTACAAACCTTTAATCCTTTTCATCTGCGTTACTTATTAAGGAAGTAAAAGATAGTAATATCCTGTCTTATGCTGCTTTGAATTAGATTGCTTGATCCAAATGCAGAAAAATCAAATCAAACTCTTATATCGTTTGAATATGTTTAAAAGGAATTTTTTGTTCCTTTCTCATAATAATTTTTGTTAAAATAACATGCTGAATAATTATTATTGGAGAAGTCAAATAACAAAAATAAGTGTAATATTTGTAAATTTTGCAGGATTAGTTTCGATGGTTCTGCAGTTCGTGGTTGAATCTTCAAAACTAGTCTTGCAAAATTTACAAATATTATGCTGATTATTGTTGTCTGACTTTTCCAATAATTATTTTTGTGTTTGAAGATTAGCTTAGCTGCTATTTTATCTTAGAAGCTGCACATTAATGACAGTTTTAAAACCTACATTTAAAAGTAATGTTACTCACCAAAAGTCTTCTTGGCGTATATCTAGAATCCAAGAAAGAAAATTTTACTTTTGCATATAAATACCAACTGCCTGCTTTAATCAATAGAAAGAAGGTGATTGGGATTTTTTTTCTTAAGTTCAGCAAGTAAAGAGTATGTGTAACTGATATGAAGGTAAATTAATTTAAAAGTCAAGCAACAAGATATTAATATTTGCTTTTCAGCTGCTAGAGTGCAAATGAACGAGATAAGAATGGCTGAACAGGATTTAAGCTACTGGCGCCATCTATCGATGAAACAAGAAAACTAAAAATTAATTTCCTCAAGGGCTGAAGGTAAAGATGGATTGGAATTAGGGTCATTAACTAGAACAAAAAGTTTTTTTAATGCGAAATGCATCTAGAAAATCTAATTTATTAATGGAAGATGTTTTTTGAATAATTTTGGCTGCAGAAAAATGAAAAACGCGATATTCAGACCAACAGTGCTGGGCAACAGAGGACTTCTGTGTTTCTCATTTCCTAACATATGCCTCATGTTCTTTAACACAAAATTTTAAGTCTCTCTTAGTTTGATGAATGTAAATTAAACCATATTGCAAGGAATCCTGTGAATACCCCAAGAATTCATATCCAGAATGGGGTCCTTAAGTGTGGAACCGTGAATTTTATTGATAGGAGAATAAATGACCCGGAAGTTAAATTTCTGTAAAACATATGTAATTGTATAGCTAATTGGTGGAAAGAAAGGAATGACAACAGAATTCTTATAATCCCCTAAAACAAGAGTTTTCTTGATGGGTTTCACATTCAAAAAAAATCTTTGTTCTAATTAACAACTATAATTCCAATTCATCTTTATCTTCAGCCTTTAAGGAAATTACATTTTAGTTTTCTTGTTTTATCAATAGATGGCAAAAGCAGCTTACCCCTGTCCAGCCATTCTTATCATGTTCATTTGCACTTTGGAAGCTGAGGCTGATGGTTTGGTAAAACCATCAAAACTAATCGTGGAAAATTTGCAAATATAATGCTGATTTTTGTTGTTTGACATCTAAATTAATCTTTGTTTGGTGTGTTATTTTAACTTAAATGATATGAAGATCATTAGTGTCTTGCATGCAGTTATAGTTGTAGGTGTCCAATGACATACATTAAATAAAGACAATGAAAGATGTCTAAAAAGAAGTTATTTTTTCACACAAACTACGAATTCTGTTAGTAATGGATTAGAATTCAGTTCTATTTCTTTTGTAGATAAAGTTACTGGAATATTTGGAACTGAGATTCAGCAATTTTCTGTAATTTCAGAATCAAAGCATTCTTGGGGAAATAGAAATGTCCAGTTCCAAGCTGTCAGAAAAATTTACAGTGATTTCAAAATTAAATGCAGGATCAATTTTGAGATTAAAATCTTTGTGGAGTGTTTAGTACAATTATCTGTATTTTAATGTGGCATACATGGATAAATTTCTTTATACTACCACTGTTAATCTAACCATGAACTTCTATATAAATGATTCAACTGGCTGTATCCATCTGTGTCTGCACACTTGTTAATATATGGACAGCAGTGTGAACAATGATGTCATCCATACTCATAATTAGAATATCCTGCTCTTAAGTTCAACTATCAAAATGTGTAATTAAAAGTAAAATCTTAAAAAAACATGATTTAAATTAATATACTTTATGATATAATTAAACCCATTTTGATTTCATTGCCAAAGCAAATTAATTCATATAAATTTTATATTTTGTTTGTGAAACATTAACATCAACTTGTTTATCGAAGCAAATGAACTTAGAAATCTAGTTGGAGCAAATAATTATAAATAAGCTAAAATATCAAGAAAAATTTCAGATTAAAAAGACAAATATTTTATAGCATTATGGATGCATATAAAATACATTGTTTGCTTTTGCTTTTCCTTGGTTTTAGCACACACATCGCATCTTCTCCTACCTTTATTACCTCCTCCATCAATGTAAATTTTTGGAAACTGTCTTCCAGTTAGACAAAAAGGTGGAGTATCTGGTGATTTTGGACAAATTTTTAAGTAAGGTCTCTTAGCCATGGCTAACGTAATGAAACTGAATATAACCCCAACACATGTCACAAAACTTCAACAGACACTCAGAAATATTTCATCCTCAAACACTGTGAGAAATCAGGTTTATATTAGAAAACTTCCTGTTTTTCTAAATCGAAAACAGCGTCCACTATTACCGGAAAGTGATCAAGGAAAGACTCCCCCTGGCGGGATATTCATTACTGATCACATCAATATATACATTGTATATAATTACATTATATGTAAAGTAAATACATTATATACCAAAATATAATGACGACCATTGAAGGCATTATATATAATAACCTATTAAATCAAGTAAGAAAAACAAAAACGCTCGCTCTTTCCTGAAAAATGCGAGCAAGGCTCATTACGCGTCAAGAAAGCTGATAGTCTATCCCCTTCTGTAATAATGTTACTTTTTAATTAACCAAGAAAGCTTATAATAATAAGTTTCAAAATAAATAGAAACAAAAATCCTAATGAAATAAACATAACACTCTTTAATTCACAGGCGCACTTATAAAGAGACGTGATTTCCAGTTTGTTTATTTTAATAAATCTCTCAAAACCAGAAGCACAAAACAGAAACTAATGCCGATTTCCAGTTTGTTTATTTCAATAAATCTCTCAAAACCAGAAGCACAAAACAGAAACTAATGCCGTATGAATCAATCAATGTGAAAACAATTACCACTTAGCTCCATTTACTAGCTTTTAAAAATTCAAATATATCGTTCCGTTTTAATGGCACTTATACGCGATGCTGCACTCGTAGGAGCAGAGCGTCGCGTATACGGGACGCCGGGCTGGTAGGAGTGGAATCGTTGCGTCGTGTATACATGACGCTGGTCCTGATTGGGTTAACAAACAGTTTTAAAAATAACTTTTTAATATTGACCACATAAATTGTCTCCAAGATATGTGTGTCTTTTATAAGTTTAATATGTAAGTATTTAATATGCAACTCAAAAATTTTTAGGCAGTTTGTTTTATCCTCATGCTTGTTTTACATTAAATATTATATTGTTTAATAATAATGCATATTAGATACTTCTTTATTCTAAGAATGGTATACCAAGAGAATTGCTTGTTTGTTCAATTCTGTTTAGTCAAGTCTAATTTTTTTCATTGATGATGCTTAAAGGTCTTAAATACCATTTAAAGAAATGTTCATTAACCCTGTATATGTATAATTCTTAAAGAAATGTATGAAAACATTATGCAAATTAATCTTCCATTGTGAGTGTTTGAATGTAGAATATCTACATACACTCACAATTTTTTATTTTTACTTTATGCTATGAAACTGAGTAACTGCAATTACATACATAAAGTTTCCAAAGTTTTACAAAACAGAAAAGAAGACAAAAAGCAAATTTTACTAAGCATAAAAATAGGCAAAACAAAACAAAAAATACATGTACTGAAAAGCTAAGCTAATATATCATACATACATATACACATATATTGTTAATACTTGAAAGAATATTTCTTCGAGATATCTGCTTTGATAACCACATATAAAACTCAAATCTTAGATTCAAACATACTAAAAAACAAACAGGAGAGTGCCATGCCAATCTGAATTATTTCATAATATTTTTGCTCTTTGAAGAAGAGGAGGTCATGCCTGATTCCCCTGAAATGCTTGGAGCATTTTAGAACTTTCAATTTTTATAAATTTCAATTTTATGCAGCATATAAGAATATAAAAGAAATTTCTTGGTACCAGTTAGCAAACCCAAATTCAAAAAGCTCTTAAATATGAAACTTTTTAAACACAAATATGATGTTACTAAGTGCAAAATTTGACAACAGTTTATTCAACACACCAATATAAAATTATTTTGCTATTTTTCAACTATACTATATATTTTCTGCATGTGCTCAAATTTGATTCACTCATGTATACAGGGTGATTCTAAATTGTTTTTACAAATTAAGAGGGGTGATAGTACTCATCCAGATGAGCAATAATTACCATAGAACATAGGGTCACATTCCACTCTGAGAGGCAGAAAAGAGGCATGTTAGAATTCCAATTTGAACTTACAACAACTTACAACAGTGTTCGGAGAGAGAATGAACGAGAGCAAAAGTTGCACAATCAGTTTAATGAAAAACTCACAGAGAGTGCACAAAATGAATAAAACCAAAAACTTGGGGTTTGAGTGTTAATTCGAGTTCAGACTTTGATGGCAAATACTCAGATGCACATTTTTGGTCGCAAAGGTCTCAACCTCGCAAATGATTGCAACAAGTTAATTATCTAAATTATTAGGGGGAACCTTGATATCAAGTATCAAGGTAGCAGTTTTTCACCCCTTTGCCATCTTCTATCTTGTTCTCCTAGACTTTCTGTGCTGCACTCATTCTGCTTGAAGCGCCCTCTATGGGACACGAAGTTCTGACAGCTGGAGCACAGCATGAACTTTTCATGCTAATATCAGCATACAGCAGAAATTGGAGTTAATTGATAATACTCAGACCTTGATTAGATAATTAACTTGTTGAAATCGTTTGCGAGCTTGAGACCTTGCCAACCAAAGATGCGCATTTGAGTGTTCGCCATCAAAGTCTGAGCTTGAATAACACTCGAACACCAAGTTTTCGGTTTTATCCGTTTTGTGCACTCTCTGTGAGGTTTTTATTAAACTGATTGTGCAACTTTTGCTCTCGTTCATTCACTCACCCAAGACTTTAAATTCAGGTTGGATTTCTAGTATTCCGCTTTTCTGCCTCTCAGCGTGGAATGCGACCCTATGTTTTATGGTAATTACTGCTTATTTGGATGAGTACTATCACCCTTCTTAATTTGTAAAAACAATTTAGAATCACCCCGTATAAAATGGTTTGATGTTGCTTTTTTAATTTGAACATATTTTAACTGTAGTATTGCTTTTGATTGAAAAAAACATTGTTATATGAAAAAGAGTAAGAAAAATTATCAATTGGTAAATGTGATGAAGATAACCATATGTGAATGTGACGAGTTTTTCTTAGCAGTAAACAGAATGGGTGTAAATATCACTGACACATATGTTATCTACAGTACCTCGAACAGATGACTATAATTGTGTATGGTCATCTTGGAGAGATTTTCAATGTATGGAACTGAGTGATGCCAAACCATCACAGGTTAACTATGTGGTTGGGACAGTGAATGTTTGTTTCCTGATGATTCACTGCAAACTTTGTTCTGTGGACAAAATTATCAAAATTGTCTTAAGAATAAATTTATATAAAACAGAAAAAATAAAAATGAATTTTACATGCAGAGTTAAGTTCCATATCCAAGAATGTGAATAATTTAAATACCTTTGATTCCATGAATTTCACATGAGGGATATTAAACTATTCTAAAAAGTTATATTCTGACAATGTATTATATCTACCGTAAAAACAAGTACCCCAGTTCTGAATGAAAACATAAACAAAATCTGCAGATGTTAAGGAAGCTAAGTTGAAATATCAATTTACTATTTAATAAGAGGTTGTGGAATTCTAATTTTATTTCATGGGTTTCAAAAAATGTACAGTAAGAAGATTACTTAAAATTTTACAATCTTAATATTTTTAAGTTTGGTAAATTTAATTTTGCAAAAATCTGTGTCACAAATTAAAACACAAAATACCTTGGTGTTTCAAATCTGATCTTTCTCATTAATAAAACTGCTAGATAAATAGAAGTAGATAATGAAATATTACAGGGATAATCACAGCCAACCATTCAAGAAATTATAGTCTTAACCACTAGTAACTTTTAGATAAGCAGTTATGTTAAATAGAGGTAAGAGAAATTGTTGGAAGTGGTAAGACTTTCCTGTATTATGACAAAAATGGTAGATTTGCGGTAGAAAACATTTACTGTGTTAGGAAAAAGAAATCAAGATCTCTATAGATGAAGAAACTTTCAAAAGACATAAGGGATCATTATTATTTCCTGTCACACAAACTAATGTTGGAAAGATTTATTTTCACAGTAAAACAGAGTAAAATACCAAATCTATTATGTTAGATAATATACATACATATGTAAAAAAATAAGGTTCCCTTTTTATTCCAGCAAATGTATTGTTCACAACTTGAAAGCATGTAGGCTGTTGTAAAGTTAACAATTGATTTGTTCCTCAGAAATTAATTGACAAAAGAACACAGAAAATAGGCATGGCAACTTCACTTGATCTTCTCCAGTGCTAATACAGGCATGGTGAGAATTTTTTTTACCAATGACATGTGCTTTAAAGGTGGTAGCAACAATATTTTGGAACATGCAGTGGTACCTCAGTTTATATCAGTTTTGAAATATGTCCAACTTGGTTTATGTCCCATTTGAATGCAAATGTTTGTTTGGAATACAATTTGAGTTCAGTAAGTCAAAACTGCATGTACTGTACTTGTTTACTTTCAAGACAATGCTACTATTGCCCATGAAATCAATATGCCTGTTGTTACTATTCAGTAAACAACCCATGTTATAACTCTAAATTTTCAAGTGATTTTTGTGTTTTCTAGCATATTTTTTTTTCGGAGGCTAGTGGGTAAGTTCATTAAAAATGAGTTCTTTCTTAAAACTGAAACTAGTAACTTTTAGATGAGAACAGTGAAGCAATAAAGAAAATTCTCAGCATCATTTATGGAGGTGAAAAAAGATACTGCTGAAAAGTATGAAGATGGCATACATATCCTATCACTTGGCTACTGCAAACCCATATGCCGAGTAGGGTGGTGTCCATGATTGTGAAAAACATACACACTATTAAATCAGCTAATGACGATTTAATAGTTACTTGAAGACTTGATCAAGCTAATGATGAAGGGGACAAATCAATTATCAAACAAAGTTCAGAGACACTGGGAGCATACTGAAAAGTTGTTTCTGATCTGTATCGCAGAAAAACATTTACGCACAATATCACATGCAGTTCTTAATTATGATCTAGCAACTTTCTCCATAAATGAAAAAAGCTTATATGCTTGATTCAAATATTCTATGTACTTCACCCAATACATTTGTATTTTAGTATTAAAAATGTTACAACAATAACAATAACATTTTTTTAAGAATCGATTAATTACTTTCCCATTATTTCTCATTGGAAAAGTTCATTTGGTATACATCCAAGTATCTGGAATGGAATAGTGATATTACTCAGGTACCACTGTATATGCAATGCTTATGGTGGAATATACTTTTTGCAATCCAGTTGTTAATGTAGCTTTTTATAAGCGCACCCTGAAAAATTTTAAGCAGGTCATTCATGCAAATGACCTGGTTTACTGTCCCAGACATTTCTGCTCTCACATGATAACACAAGGCCCTAAGCAGCTCATGATGCATGAAATCTTATTGGAAAGTTCTATCACGTCATGCCTATGGTTATGATTTGACTTTCCTTTATCCTCTGAACTTAAGAAGCACCTTTTATGACAACATTAAAAAAGTGCCATCTTCAGGACACATCTTCTATTACTAAAACTTTGATTCCTTGATCTATAACGTATTTGAAACAGTAGGGAACCTTATTTTTTATAATTTCTTATATAAAATAAATTATTAACTCATTTACCAAATAGCAATTATTCTTTTACAAATGTATTCCAACTGAATTTTAAAAACTGTAAAGAGATCTTGCATAATTTAAATATTCTTCTGGGATTTCATTTTGGATAAAATATTTATTTATTATTACAATAAATGAAACTGACACAGGAATCTAAGAATATTTGTAACCATAAAAATATAAATATGGCAATAAATGTCATATAAATATACATATAGTCTGCAGATTGAATGCTATTAATTTCATCTGCATTAAATAAATACTTAATGCAGAATTTTAATGTGTATTTATTACCTCAAGTAAGTAAGATAGTCTACTAGTATGGTTAAAATCTTCACATAACATTTATATTAATTTTAGATTACATAAATTAAGCTGAAAACTCAATATTCTTAAAGGTTTTAGAGGCAGAAAATTCATGTCCAACTAACTATGATAGCTAGTTTCAGCTATGTCAGGCACTATTACAGGATTTACATACAAAAAATGAAACTGTATTTCTTCAACTAAAACTTCAAAATCCAAGCTTTTTTAGCATATTACGAGATTTGCAAGTAGATAAAAACTGTACAAAATGAAGTCTTTTTTGTACATCTTGAATAGAAAGTCCATTTCTGTTACAATTATAATTAATTAATGTCTAGGAAGTTAAATAACGTCTTAATTTTTACAGAACTCTCATCCTCCAATTCTTTTACACTCCTTTCAGACATAAAGAATCAACATTAGGGTGGACTGCTTGTTGAAAACAAACATTAGGGTGGGCTGCTTGTTGAAAACAAACATTAGGGTGGGCTGCTTGTTGAAAACAACGTGACAGCTGTACTAACACGACCACCCAAAACACCTCCAACCATTGGACGAGGCTTGTATAAATCTGATGTTTCATACCGTTTTGATGATGAATTACTAGAAGTATAAGAAAAACACTTTTATAAGAGTGCAATACATGAAATGATGTATAAAATATTCATTAAAAGTCTGAACGTTGATTCAAAGAAAAAGCCAAATAAGGGGGGGGAAGTAACATCAATGTTTTTATGCATAACACAATGGGAAAAAATTCCCTAAACTAGAAGAACATTCGGCAAATTTAATATCTTTTATATAAAATTTAACATTTCCTATTAATAATAAATTTCTGGACAATAATAGTATAATTTCAAATTACCACTGAGTGTTTTTTTTTTTTTTTTTTTTTTTTTTGTTTTTTTTTTTTTTTTTTTTTTTTTTTTTTTTTTTTTTTTTTTTTTTTTTTTTTTTTGTTTTGTTTGTTTGTTTGTTTGTTTGTTTTTGTTGTTGTTGTTGTAACTAAAATACTCCTCCAATAAAATTGTTAAATTTCTAATGAGATTTATGTTGTTTCAGTATATCCTCCTTTCTCAAAGCACTATTCCTCAGGACTTAGAAGAGAAGGGCTAGCTCATAGAGCTTTTCCCCCTGAAGCAGAAAGTGAGAAGTGATGACGTAGCCATGATGACACTGAGCGCGCCAATATAATTCACAGCTTGGAAATTAGCGTTTTTGAACCAGCGTTTAAAATGAGCTGTGTGTGAAAGATGGCTATAATTTGGAAGAGGCAATGTTACTGCTTTATGCATTTTAGACTGAACCATTCAAAAATTTAATAATGCTTACTCAATTTAAAAATAATAGATAAAATGTGCTACTCTTTTAACATAAAGGTTCGTGGTTTTTTTGTATTTTTATTTGCAGGTTTTTTTTTAATGCACGTTTATTTCTAATCATTTCTTTATTTGCATGCTAACTGAGAGAATTTTTATACTGCTTCTAAGATAACTATAATAACAGCTATTTAAATTTACTCAAAAAACAACTTTACATTGACATAGGTTTAAACATACATGACATTATGGCAACATTTCTGCTAACCTACGTTTGATTTTTGCCAAATTGTAAATTTTACATTGTTATAATTCTCTTCCGATTCAATATAATAGATATTTTTTAAATAATTTTGTAATTTATACTTATATCTATATTACAATTAAATAAATGTATATAAGATTGTTACACCTTAATTTTGACAAAATAGCTTTATTCAGAGTACCTAAAACAGTTATTTAATTTTTCAAAAGTGTGAGTAAAGGAAGCAGGTCTTTTTATGCCAATTACTTTGATGTTTTATACTATTATATTTTATCTAGAATGCTAACCTAGCACAAAATCTAATCAATAATTAGTTACAAAGGATATAATAAGAATAACTTTAACAAGTACTTAACAAAATTAGTTTGTTAAAATACTTGTTATTCTTGTTGGTTACTATTTTGGTACTATTCATAATACCGAAGATATATATTATCGATTAACTCATAGAAGTCAGATGCTTTCTGATTTCCTGTGGGGTAGAGTATACCTTTGCGGTACTTTTTGAAAATAATGTTTTCTCTGGAGCGACTTTTTTGTCTCTCGTTTTCCCTTGACCATAAAATAATTTAGTTTTAGTTTGTGACACAAATTTGAATTTGATTTCTTTTCAATCTCTATTTAAAACCTCTTTAATAATATCAAAATTTAAAACAGTTACATCTCTAAAACAAATCCTCTATCTAAAACGCGGTTTCTCAGTAATTTGAAGCTGAGCGCGAAATGAGACCTCTGATTAAAACAAAGTGCACATTTTGAAAAGAGCCAACTTAGTCCAGTTTAGAGTCATAGCAGAGTTTTCAATCTATATGCATTTCGTCGAAACTGAGAACGCATATTTTTTCTACAGAATACAAATATTCGCCTCTTTCCTTCTTTAGAATAAGAACATTACTTTAAATTCTTGGACTACACTAAAATTTAGAAAACACTAAAAAATAAAATAAACAACATTTCTTTAATTTGATAATACTAGGTAAAGATATCCCAATTTTTTTCTTAATTTTTTTTCTTTCCAAAAATCATAGCTTTAAGATGACAGAGCTCTTATGACGATGCAACGTGAATATTTTCACTAGTCCACCTGATGTTTTTCTTTCTTTTTCAGTAATGCATTAATCTGCGTCTTTATAAAAAAAAGGCTTTAGACATTTTTCCAAATTCTACGATTTGTGATACCCCCCCCCCCCCAAATTTTTGCTATATGAGATTTTAATTTCTGATACCAATTTCTGTCTAGATGTCGTCCCTTCTTTTGTCACTGAACAACATTCTAAAAATTTTTCTTTTCTCTATTTTTCAATACTTTAATACAATTTTTTAAGGATATTATTTTGTTTTCTTCAAATTATCAATGCATTCTTGTTATCCTTAAACATTCAGGATGATCTACATTTTCATTTGTGAGTTTTATTTCAAAATCATTAAAATTTGATTTATTATTGTCATCATCAATTTCGATTTATTATTGTCATCATATTTTACTTTTGGCACAGCATTCCATTTCAACAGTTTTTTTTTTTTTTTTTTTCTGTGGCTATCCAAACAAGCGATTTTTCATATCATCTTCATAAACACTGCATAGAAAATGTTCGCTGCAGATTTTTCCGCTCTTCACATTAATAGAATCTTCTCTTTTGACATTTGTGTATCCATTGTTCATCAAAGCAAACTCTCATTTGGATCCTTTTGGTCCCATGAAATAAAATATCTCATCCTTTCATACTTCTGTAATGCTATGGCACGTTACTGCAGCGCAAAAAGCCATATTACGTAAACGATATTTTACAATATAGAAAATTTAAAATAAAAAACTGACTAAAATTACATATATATAAATTATTTTAAATATATACATTATTAGAAAAAACAGATATATATATATTAAAATTAATTTGGGATATGTAACCTCTAGAAAATCGTCTCGCAGCTCAATGAAACTACTGTTTTTAAAAACGCGGGAAATCAGGACAGGTGGCATCAACAGTGACGTCAGATTATTGCCTGTTACGTCCCCCCATTAGGCTCGCGTCGGCGAGGAGTCGAACAAAGAAATGAGCTAGCCCTTCTATTTATCCCTGCTATTCCTTAAAAAGCTAATTCTTGAATGTTGTTCCATAATTAAACCACCATTATAGTTGCTTTTAATTTATTAAAAAAAATTATTGTGACTCTACAGAGAAAAACAGAAGGGCTCAGAAGTGCAATTAATGAATTATACAACACCAATAAAATTCTTTTTTTGTTTATTCAAAACCCCTTTCCATAAAAAAAGTAAATTAATAGGCTAGTACAGGGATGGCCAAACTTTAAGACCACAGGAGCCGCATGATAGATTTTATGAACGTTCAAGAGCCGCAAGTCAAAACTTATATCGTTTCAAAAATAATATAAAGAATATAAAGAAACTTTTGAAGTAAATTAATGAATATGTGATTAACATGATTACATATAAATATACCTTATATCTACTTTTTTGTGTTCAGAAAAGTTTAGTCCCAAGAAAATAAAAATTTGTAACTCTTGTACTGGGCAACTGAGCATTTTTTCAAGTAGAGAAACTAAATATTTTCTTATGATTTCCTTTCTACCTCTCCATTTACAATTCTAGTTATTGCATTTTAGTAGAAGTAAAATGGATCGGAAGTATATTCATCAGTGTACAATTATATAAAAAATGTTATTTGAGTAAATTACAAATCATTATTGAAACGAAAATTGAGTGTTTGTTTTTTTAACTCATGAGCAATTTTTTAGAAAGGCTAATTTAAATAATACACGTCAACGCGCACTCCAGAGAAACTGTTATTCGAGAAAGAATATTTATTTAAAAATAAGCTATTAACTTGTTTAGGCTTTTGCTTAAAAGTAATTTTGTTTCTCCACACAATTACCATAAGGACCAACATACTGAGATCTTTCAAATTTTGGATCTTAACCTACAAAATCGTTAAACATTTTTCCCCCAAAACATTGGAATAGCTATTTTTACTGATGTCCAGTATAGAAGAATTCAGACACACACAAAACAAACAAACAAAAAAAAAAAAAAAAAAGAGAGAGATTGCAATTTCAGTGGTATTTGAATAATCAGTATCTCTCATGACGGCCTTGACTGATACAGTATTTCAACGTGACATCTAATGGAATCTGCCAGACTTTTTTAGTAATCAGTACACTGAGCATCATTGAAAGTTCTTGAAACTCTCTCTCGAGTTGTCCTGATAATTTTGGACATACCTAATGAAGTTCATGTGCATCATTGAAAGTTCTTGAAACTATCTCTCGAATCATTCTGATAATTTTGGACATAAATAACAAAGTTCATGCAAATCATTGAAAATTCTTGAAACTATCATTCGAACTGCCCTGATTATTTTGACATAGAAAGCAAAGTTAATGCACATCATTGAAAATTCTCAAATCCCCTCTTGAATCGTTACTATAATTCTGGACATACATAACCTATTGCTAATAAATTTCGTAGTTTATGCTGGGCCGTATAAATGCTTCGGCGAGCACATATCCCATCTGTCTACCAGCTAAACTCTTCAACCTAGCTGTTTAGTTTTGAGCTGAGTTTCAAATACATGGCAAATCAAAACTAATGTCACAGAAAACAAACATACCTGTCACTAGTATAATGGATTTATTTCGCAAATACAGGTATGACATTAACGTGCAACTCTTCATATTTCTTTGGACATGCACAGATATTCCGATATGGAGGTCTTTTGTAACACAGCAGACTTCTGCATAATACACTGCTGGCCACCCAAATTGCAACACCAAGAAAGACAAGAGATATCACAACAAAATTTATTTAGTAGATAGCATGTTGACCAAGTATCACATTATTAAATTTATAGACTTCTGGGAAGTGTGGTTTCTTCCGGAATCAATAGCCAGAGTAGCCGCCATTGTTGGAGCTCACCGCTGCCACACACCTCGGCATTGATTCAAAGAGATTTTGGATGTGTTCCTCGGGTACAGCAGAACAAGCAGCTTCCACACGTTGC